CGAATAATTTAAAAAAAAAAAAAAAAAAAAAAAAAAACACACTTAAATACGTGTTAAAAAACAAAAAAATTAATGTGTATTTCAAATAATTTAAAATAAGATAAAAAAAAAAAAAATAGAATAAGATAAAAAAATATGACTTTAAAAATATTATAAAAAAGAAGGTATATTATCATCTATGATTAATATAATAAATCATTTTTATTTATACTATTAATAAAATCAACAGCGTTAACAATTTTTTTATTTTTTCGTTGTAATTTATAAATTTTTAATAAGGTGTTATTTTTGCATTGAATATTCAAAGATTCTTTATCAAAAACTACAAATTTACGAGGTACCTTATCAAAACATTTATGATTATATATATTACAGTAATTAATAAAATTGTAATTATTATTTAAATAATATGATGTTTTAATTAGTTTTACATCTATTATTTTAAATGTATTATTTTGAAATAAAAAAAGAGAACATTCTGCTTTAGGCCAATTTATGAAACTTCTTACTTTATTGTGGATATATAAGGATGTTGAACAAAAGAAGCATACGTACTTTTCATCATTTTTTATTTTTGATGCATAATTGTTATCTTTAAGTGGCATTTTGTTGTAACTGTTTGAAAAAATTTTATTAAAATTACTTAATTTGAAATTAGTAGAACAAATAGAATTCCTTTTTGTATCTGATAAATTACCAATGATTTTATTAAAATCACTACATTCGCTTCTATTATTTTGAGTAATAAAGTCATTATATGTATTACTTGGTGTTTCATTTAGATGTAATTTATAATTTGATAAAAAATATATGTTTTTTATTAAGTGAATAATTCCTATTGTAAATAATATGGTGATGATATCATTAAAATTATAATTTTTATCAAAACAAAAAGCTTTTTTTATTAAAATAGTTCCTGCATCAATATTTAAATTTGTTAAAAATATAGTGTATCCAAATAAACTTTCATTATTTAATATACTTCTTTGAATTGGAGATGCACCTTTATATAATGGTAGTAAACTTGGATGTAAGGAAAAAATATTAGAATTAATTGTTCTAAAAAAGTAATTATTAAAAATTTCACCAAATGATACAGAAATGCAAAGATCAAATGTCTTATTTTTTAACTTATAAATATCATTTTTTACCTTATCATAATAAAAAACATTTATTTTATTTTTATTTGCTTCTTCTTCTATTTCTGACTTCTGCAAAAGCATATTTCTTCCCTTTTTTTGAGGGCTTTTTGTTATAACATTTTCTAGTTTTATGTCATTTCTTAGTTTTTTTATTATTAACAAAATTATTTTAAAACATAAATTGCTAAATTCGTTGCTTCCTATAAATAACAAATTTACATTCTTACTATTAATACGTTTTCTTCTATGAATATCATGTAACATATCGATTATAACATATTTTCTCATATTCAATTCCTTTATAATGTCTACATTAAATATTTTATTACCTAACGTTTTTTCAATTATATTAACTATTTCTAAATATATGTTATCCATATATAATTTTATAACATTAGTACAACTATATGCTAAATTTAATAGATATGTTTTCAAATTATATTCTTTTTTTTTATTGTATATATATATGGTATTTTCATCCTTGAAGAATAAATATTTATTTGTATTATTTAATTTATTAAATACATTTTTAATATCATTAATCTTTTTTCTTAAAATATAGCTACGGTGATTTTTATCATAAATATTATCCCATTTTTTTATTTCTACAAATATATTTACTTTTATTTTTAATTCATTTTCTAACGGATTAATGAATGATTCACTAAACTTTGATTTAGTAACATTAAAATTATGAATATTTTTTAATTTATCAATACATTCTGTTTTCTTAGAATTAATACGATTAACAGTTAAATTAAATTTATTAAAATAATAGTGTTTTTTACTAAAATATGATTTGCTAGTATAACTAAATTTATAAGCATAACTTCTTAGAAATATTATAATAAATATTTGTATAAAATATGAACTAACTACATTCATAATAATTTTCTTTTTTTTTATATTTGAAAATATTCTACAAAATGTCCCTCTATTTTAATCTCAACTTTATATATTTTCATGTTTTCTTTTTAATATTATTGTACAACTATTTGACATCTTTTTATTATTTTATTTTTATTTTTTTTTTTATTTAAACGTATTATTAATATAAAAATGAAATGCTTTTTAAATTTGTTTGTAAATTGTTACAAAAACAGAAACACGTAAAAGGATTTACAATTTATGTGTATTTATATGCATCTTAGTATTTTTATATTCGACAAAAAAAAAAAAAATAAAATAAAATAAAATAATAATTTATTTCTCTTTAATAGGAATAAAATAATAAAAAAAAAAAAAAAAAATTAAATTATAAAAAAAAAATCTATAAAGTAGCATTAAAAAAAAAAAAAAAAATAAATAGATGAAACAAAAAATAATATTTACAAAGATAATTGTTTATATATAAGATATATATATATGGGATTTATTATACTATATTATTTTTATTTTATTATTTTTTTAAAATTTCAAAAATTTAATTTTAAAGATGCTTCACCCATTCGTACACAATAAAATCGAAGGAACAACAAACTTCTCAATGTCATATTTTCTGTAATAAAAGAAAAAATGAGTAAATAAAGTAAAATAAAAATAAAAAAAATAAATAAATATGTATACAAATAATTAAAAATATGATTGCAAGTACATGATACAATATTTTATATTTATATTTATTTCTACAATTAAATAAATAAAAAATAATTAATGAAATATAGTAAAACAGAAATATAATAAATACCTTTTATTTTTGTCATCAAGAATGCTAAAATTGAGAACAGCTAAATACGAATTACATATATAACAACCAAATTCATTTGTTTGATTTAAATTTGAAAATATTTTTGATTCATTTTCTATTTGCTCATAAGACAAATTTTCCTTTGTAACTATATGTTCCTTATTATTTTCAAAACTTTTTTCAATTGAATTTTTAAAATCATTAGGTATACAATTTTCAGTTAAATTTTTTATATTTGCTAAATTATTTGTTAATTCAATTTCTAAGCATTTTCTCAAGAATCTAGATTTTGACAAAGAGAATTTTTTGTGCAGTTTTTTTCTATTTATAGCTATAATTTTCAGTTTATATTCTTTAAAATTTTTTTCTAAAGAATACCTAATATAATCTTTTTCAGTAAAGTGTACTTTAATTAAGGGGCTTTCATAAGATATATTAATAGTTAAATGCTTTAAAAAAAATGATTTCTTGTCAATTATAGATATTTTAAAAAAGAGTAAGTCGTTTAATAAATTTCTTTTAAGAATATCTCCACATATGCTGCATAATATCTTTTTTTTTTTATGTAAACAAAGAATATCATTTTCATTAGAATGATTAGAAATATCAATTGATTTTTTTAGGCACATATCATCACTTTTTAAATGAAAAATTTCTTTATAAAATCTAGTATGAACTAGCATTTTATCATTAATATAATTACTAGCTTTAGCACATCCTTCACTAATTAAGTAAAAATTTTCTCTTTTATTTTCAAATAAACAGTGTAAATTTAAAAATCCAATTCTATCTTTCATATTATCTGCATTACTTAATAAGTTTTTTGTATTAGAGTTTGGAAAATATCTTAAGTAGTTTTCTTTTTTTTTAATTAAACTTATTTCTTCAATATTATGTTTTGCTAATTCCTCATTTATGTTTAAAGTTTGATTTTCTTTTATCTCGTCCAATGATTTCATGGATGAAAAAGTATCCATTTTTTTTATATTCAATACATTTTTTTTTTTAATATCTTTAAAAAATAATGGGTTGGTGTCATTTTCTTCATACCTATTATTTATATTAAAATCTCCTAATTTAAGTGATTTCATATTTGAATTATTCAATTTTTTTTCTTTAAATAAATTACTTATTTTCTTTTTTATTATATTATCATTTTTTTTTTCGTTTATATTATTGCTACTTATAGAATCATTAACAGAATCATAAACAGATCTATCTGATTCACGAAATAATTTTGTAAAGGATTCAATTCTATGATCATTTATCGATTCATTTAAATGATTCTTTGATATATTTGATATTTTTTCTAACTTATTTATGTTTTCTAATTTTTCAGGAATTTCCTTTATAGTATTTGAATTATATAACGATTTATTTTTTATATTTATAGCTGACCTATTTAAAGAACTTTTAACTGATTTATCTGTGAAATAATTTGTAGTGTTGTTTAATGATTTATATTCTGAATCATTTAAAGAATTATATAATGTTTCATTTTTTAATTCATATATCTTTTCTTTTTCCTCATTAAAATCAACACTACTTTTTAAACTTTCTACATTTATAGAATTTTCACATATTGGTAGCTGCTTGAAATCAATTGATTCATCTCTAAAAGGAAAGATTTTTTCTCTTTTATTAAAAAGTTTTTTTAAGTTATTATTATGAAAAAATGGAATTTCATTTTTATTTTTTTTTTTATTACATTTTTTTTCATCAATAATTTTAACTTTTTCATCATCATATACAGAAATATTATTGTTTATTTCATTTATTAAAATTTTTTTATCATCACATACAGAAATATTATTGTTTATTTCATTTATTAAAATTTTTTCATCAACATCTTTTTCTATATCTTTTATTGATAATTTTTCTTCACATTTATTGTCAATTAAAAGTAAGTTAGAAGATTTTTCACAATTTTCATTAAAATTATTAATGGCTAAATTTGCTTTTGAAAAATTACAAGTTCCTAAATTTTTTGTTGAATAATGATTATAATCTTTTTTATCTACTAAACTATTTTTTTCGTTTTCCATATCATTTAATTTAACACTATAATCGCATAAGGAGTTTTCAATAAGAGACAGCAATTTTAACTTTAGTATTTTACTATCAGCAAAATTTGATGAAATAAAATATTTTCTTTTTTTTTTATTTTGTAAATTTTTTTTTTCTTTTAACATCCTTTCGTTGTTTTTTTTTTTTCGTTTTTCTAAATATAATATTATATTAAATTCATCATCTGTATAGCTAATATCAGAAGTATGGTTATGTGGGTTGAAACAACTTGTAACTTCACTTGATTTTTCTTCAATAATTTTATTAAGATTGTCATTTTTCACATTTTCTATTTTTCTTTTTTCACTTTCATTTAATGAAATGGAAGATTTTGTATTTATATTACCATCTTTTATTATTTGCTTATTAATTAATTCTTCTTTTTCTGATGATACATTATTTTCTTCTATAAGAATACCGTTAAAATTATTAGTATGAACACTTTTTTTATTTTTTAAGCATAATTTGTTATTATTAATATTAAATTCAATGTTATTTATTTTATCAGTAGTATGTTCTTCGAAATTTTTTTCATTTGTACTTTCAAAATTTTCAACCTTATTTATAGTGTTAAGATACTCTCTGTTTTTATTCATAATATTATTTTCTTCATTTATTTCTTTTTTTATGTAATTTTCTTTATATGAATATTTTTGAATTTCATTTAATATATTTTTATCATCATTATAATATGTGTTTTCATCACCAAAATATATTTCATTTTCATATATATTTTCTCCTTCATATTTAAAATTGTTTTCATATTTTAATTTTCCTTTTTTTAAATGATCTATATTTTCATCTATTTTACATTTATTTAAATAATTTTTATTTTCATTTAAAACAGTTTTATCTTCTACATATTGACTTTGATCTTCTAATTTACTTTTGTTTTCCTCTAATGCTTTTTTTGTAACTAAATTTGAGTTTTTTTTGTCTAATATACGTAAAAACATAGTTTTTATTTTTCTAAAGTTTATTTTTTCTTTACTGTTTTTAAAAAAAAATAAGTTACCTTGTTTGGAAGGAATTATTCTATTCATATTATAATTAATTCTGTTTATATTTATAAAAAAAAGGTTAGAAGAATCTTTAATATTTACATATAAAGAACTGTATGAATCTAAAATAATGTAACCAAGTTCTTTTGAGTTCCATGATAAAATAATATTTGAGTCTAAATCATCATGAATTACTTTATCTAATTCTTTATTATTACCATTTAAGTTATTTGTATTAACTGTTCTAGAATAATTGAAATCAGTAGAATTATTATTAATTATATTATTATTCTCATAATTTAAGGAACACTTTTTTTTAAAAAATGGTTTAGAAAAGAAATCCTTAGTTTTTATTGAATTAAAATTTTTAACTGTATCATTATTTTCAATACTTAATGAAACAATACTGGAATTAATATAATAAAATACATCGTTACTGTTAGGGGAAATATTTATGAATTTTTCATATCCATTTTTATTAATATGTATATTTAATGAACTACCTAACATTTTATGTTTATATTTATTAAAAAATATTTTTTTTTTTGAAAAAAAAAAATTTAAGCATAATGTTATATTATTACATTGTTCTAAATGAACATCATTTAATACAAATAAAAACTTTAAACAAAAGATATTTTTTTTTTCCTTTAGAAAATGGAATATACTAGTTATATTTTTATTTGTTGAAATTTTTTTTTTTTTGTTTTCTGAATTTCTTTTATTATTAAGATAATCATTATCTTCAACCATCAAATAATCTGAATTATTAATAGAGGATGGCATGTTATGGAATTTAGAAAAATTCTTATGAGAAAACTTTTCATATTTTATTTTTTTTTTACAAGAACTTTCATTTAAATTTTCATTGATACTAGATTTACTTAAATCCCTACTGTAAACATTTTCTGTAACTAATTTCTCATTATAAGAATTTATTTCCTCATTTCCTATATTTTTTATACTATTTATACAATTTTCTATACTATTTTTTAACAAAACATCCTCTTGGCAAGCTGTGTCTTTTAAATAACTGTTCAAATATTGTGACTGTTCTTTATTATTATGTAATAATATATTGTTGTGTAAAATATAAAAATCTACTCCATCGTTATTTATTTTTTCTATTTCTATATTTTTTTTTTGATTTTGTACTTCCTTCATTTTCCTCATTTCATTTTTTATTGTTCTATATTCCTTAGTTTCATTATTTGAAATATCTTCTTTATTCAATTCTTCAATTTTCATTTTTTTCATTATTTTTTCTCCTTTTAAAATTTCTTTTTTTTGAAAACATTCCATTGATTCATTACTCATGTTAAGCTTTTCTTCATTTAAAAAATTATTTTCTTTAATATTATCTATATCTTTTTCTTTTATTTTGTTATAAATTTTGTCGCAATTTTCATTAAAAGGTATTAATTTCTTTTCATTAAGTTTATTGTTGTAGATTTCATCTTTATTTGTTTCATTTTTGTAATAAGTTATATTTCCATTAATAATATCTTCAATTGATATATTTTTTATAACAAATAATGAATTTTCCATATTGCTAATTTTTTTAATACTATAAAAAATATTTTTCATTATTTTTATTACCTCATTAAAAATTAATTTATTATGTTTATCTTCTCTATATTCCACTTTTTTTAAGCTTAGAATATCACTATTAATAACTTCATCATTAATGAAATTATCATCAGTGTTTTTACTATATTTTGCTGATTTATTTTTTAAAGAAAAACTGTTATATGATTCATTTAATGTCTTTTTCTTCATATTTTCTTTATTATTGCTACATATATAGTTTTCACTATTTAATAAAAGAGTTTCTTCAATATGTTTTTTTATTAAGGAAATTAAATGAATTAAAAATACACAGAAATTATCTTTCATTTTTTTATTTATAGATTTTCTTAAAACTCTTTTAGTAAAAATTTTCTTTTTTTCCTTATGAGATGATACAATATTTCTTAATGAGGTATTTACATCTTTTATATTATTAAAATTTAAACTATCTTCTTTTATTATTTTAAAATAATTACACTTGGTATTTTTTTTGCAACTACTATTACAAAAAGTATCTTCTTTAAACATATCATTTTTTTCATTATATTTTTTATCTAATAATTTAGAGTTTGTAGATTCTCTATAATTTCCATTATGATCAAAATTAAAAAAAATAAAAATATAATCTATTATATTATTTTCATTGTAGATATTTCTATTCAATATATTATTTATGCCATCTTCTATTTCTATAATTTTTATGCAAGAAACATTGTTTAAAAACTTTTGATAATTTTTCATATTTATACTATAAATTATTTCATCAATTTTCCTTTTTATTATAAAATTAAAGAAATTATTTTTTTCATTTTTTATAACATTAGGATTATTAAACATTTCTTTTAATCTTAGTAATATACATACAATAAATATAAATTGTATTTTGCTAATTTCCTTTTTAGATGTATAAGATTTAATTTGATCATTAATATAGTTTGGTAAATATTTCATTATATTATTTGAATTTTCGTTACTTAATTTTTGGAGATTTTCTTTTATTTTATAAATAGGCAAATTCAAAATTAAAAGTGAAACTTTTTTATAATCGTTATAAATATTAATGATTTTTTCTATTTTATCTATAGATAAAAGTTTACAAAATGTATTATATTCTTTATTATTTAATTCATTTAAAATAAGAATAATATTACTTTCACTTAATAAATTAATCAATTTCTTCTGAGTTTCTTTCCACATTTTATCTTTTTTGTCTACCCTCATGGTAATACTTATTAATTTTTTTGTTGGTAACTTTTCTAAAACGCATAGTATATTTTTTAGTGGTAAATTATTTAGGCAAGATACAATTTTATTTTCAGGTAGTAAAATGAAAATTTCTCCGAGTTTTTTAATAGATATCTCATTCATAATTTTTACTAAAAAATTTATAGGTATCCTATCAATAATAGATGTAAATTTATCTAATGAAACATAATTAATGTAATGAATAATTTTTGTTAATTCACATTTGTTTAATAAAATTTCTATATTTTTATCATTTAAATAATTCATTATCTCAATTATTTCATCAGAATTAAAAGATTTATATATTTCAACTAAATTAAAGGAGGAATTTAGATTAATTGAATCTGCTATTTTTTTAGGTGGTAAACTTTTAAGAATTATAATAGTTTTATATAAAGGTAACTCATTTAAAAGTCTATTAATTGTAGTTAAACATAAATTATTAGTAATAAAATGAATATTTTTAATAGACAAAGAATTATGAAGAATATATAACTTTTCATAGGAGATTTTATTAGATAATGAGCTAATTTTTTCTAATGGTAGACATTCTATTATATAATAAAATTTACATGATGGAATAGCATTTATTAGTTTTATAACAATTTCAACTTTTATATGATTAAATATATATATTAATTTATTTTGGGGTAAGTTTAATAAAATTCCTAAAGAATTATTAGTAGATATATGATTTATAATTTCTATAATTTTATCTTGATCAAATAATAATATAAAATTTTTATAATTATCTACATCAAGTAACTTTATTATTTTTTCAATTTTTTCTATTGATAAAAAGTTGAAATATTTTGCCGTTTCTATATTATTTTTAAAAGGAGAAAAAAAATTAACCAATTTCTCCTCGTTTAAGTTTTCTATAATAAAATGCCTTTTTTTTTCTTCTTTTATAGAATTTATTAAGCGTTTAAAATGATTAATAGATAATTTTTCTATTATTAAAGTAGTCTTTTCCTCATCTAAGTAATTTAAGATATTTATGCATTCTTCGATTGATATTTTTTTTAGAACACTAATTATTTTGTCTAAAGATACGTTTTGCATTATTTCTTTTAATTTTTTTTCTTCAATTCCATTCAAACTTTGTTCACTATTGTTATTATCTTTGTAATCATTTTTAAAAAAGGTATCTGTTTTTTTTTTATCATTATTAGATTTGTTTCTTAAATTTTCCATAATATCAAAAAAACTTTCTTTTTTTTTTGAACATGATTCATTAATAAAATATTCATTAATTTCTTCTTTTTTTAAATTACAATTATTCTCAATGCTGATATTTTTTTTATCTTCAATTTTATTATTATAGTTTAATAGCTTACCTTTTTTATATTTTCCATTTGTTTGCTTAGAGGTGCTTATTTTTTCATCTTTTTCCCATTCTTCTTTTAATAGATTAAAACTAGTACTACCATCTGTCTTTTTTTCTTCTACGTTTTTCACTTCCACATTATTTTTAAGAAAAGAATTTCTATCTTTTTTGACTTTAACTAAAACTCCAAAGTTATTTATACATTCTAAATTAGTACTTTTTCGTATATGTTCATTATTTTCATTATATAATATGATTTCTTTTGAAGAATCATCTTTATTATCATTAGAATTATCTAGTGTCAAAAGTTCATTTACTCTCATAATTGAGTTTTTATTAATATCTTTCTCATCATTTAATATTTTAAGTGTAGTTAATTTTTCTTTAGTAACAACTGACTCTGATATTTTTTTTTCGTCAAGACTTATATCTGAATTTTTTGATTCTTCTTCATTATTGTTTATTTTTTCATTTATATCTATTTGATGAATATTCTTCAAATTACGATTTTGTATAGAAATATTTTGATTTTTAAACTTTTTTTTGGTTTTATTTTTTATCTTTTTTTTCTTATTTTTTAAATATTTTTTTTTTTCTTGTGATACCAATTTATAATTTGCTTTACTTTTTTTACGTTTAAAATTTATTTTATCTTTTTTCATTTTTTCATCTAATATATTTTTATTCTCTATCAATATTTCATTTTTTTCTCCATTCATTTTAGAGATATTTTATAAAGAAAATGTATTGAATAAAACGAATGTATAAAAACATATATAAATAAATATATATATATATATAAATATATAAATATATATATATATAGATGTATAGATGTATAGATGTATAATAACATTTAAATTTTTTTTTATTGAGAAGTTTGAATTTTTTATGAAACAAAAAAATAATATAATATAATAAAAACATAAAAAAAAAAAAACATGGAAAATTCGAAATGAAAAATTATATACTTAGAAAATGAGTTATATTTTTTTATTTTATTATTAAACAAAATAGAAGAAAGAATCATATTAGAATATTTTGCATTATTATGCAATGAAATAAATTTTTCTTTTTACTCTCTCTTTTTTGTATTTATTATATAAATATACAAGTAAAATTTTTTTTAAAAATTATAATTTTAATTTCCACTTGTTCTCTTTAAAAAAAAACTTACGTGTTATATAAAAAGATACGTTTATAAAGAAAAAAAATACATATTCAGAATTGGGGCAGTTTATAGAATAATTCTTTTAATAGTCTTCAAAAGAAAAAACTAAAAAAAATTATAACAAATATACAAAAAAGCATTGATGCTTAAAATTTTTTTTATAAAATAATTACTTTAATTTTTTTAAAAAAATTATGTACATAAATAAAATTAATAGTAATTTTCTTTTAATAAGAAGTAACTTGTTATAATTTTTTGAAAAAAAAAGTATTTCATTTTTTTTTTTTTTTTTTACTAGTAGAATTTGCTAGTGAAATTACACTTCCTGCAGTTATTGTTGTTTTTAAATAACTGCATCATATAAACCCATACTTTTTTCTAAAATATGAGTAAAATTATAAGGAACGTCAAAAAACTTAAGAATAAAGAAAAACGTAGAATATAAAATTCTTCATTAAAAAAAAAAACAATTTTTCAAAAATTGCATGCAATAAGATTTCTTCATTTTGTTATTTCTGTATTACATTTTGTAAAAAGAAACAATTTTTTTTTTAAATAATTTAATTAGTGTGTAGTTCCAAGTTGTTTTTTAATAACATAAAGATTGTGTAGAAATATTATATATATTTATTCATAACAACAATATATAGTAGATTCCTTTACAAAAAAAAAAAAAAAAAAAATACACATTTAGAATTTCCAATTGTAAATAAAAATGAAGTTATTTAAACATAGAAAAGGAGTCTATTAAATTTCTAATTAGTAATTTTAATTATTTTTTCTATATTAAAAGAACTATATACATTTTTTAGTCTTTTCAAAAATGTTAAGAAAAAAAGGAAAGAAATGAGTAAATTTTCTTTTGTATTTACTTATGTTGAATTGTATAGATGTGCAACATACCTTTGTTATTAATGAGGAAAAAAAACTAAAAGAAAAATTTATTTTTAGAATTCTGAAAAAGTTAAGAATACTTATTGTATGAATTAAAAAAGAAACAAAAAAGTTATATAATTTTTGAAGTTTCTAAAAGAGATTTTTCATATTTTATTCATAATTATTCTTATAGATTTTTAAAAGAAATAATGAAAATAAAAGAACTTCACCAATAAAAAAAAATTTCAACTTTTAAGAGATTCTCAAAATTATCTTCACCGAAAATATGTATTTAATAGAAATAAAAAATTGTAGAATTCTTTTTTTTTATTACACTTTATATATATGTTACATTCAAAATAGAAATTTCAAGTGTTTAAAAAAAAAAAAAAAGAAAAAAAAAACTTATGCTTTTAAGTGCATCTATAAATTAAAAACATAATCTTAATCTAAAATATATAAAAAAATATTATAGTTACATTCTCATTTTATCATTATAAAATGAAAACAAAATGTTATAAAAATATTTGAATTCAGAATTTGTCAGTAATTTCATGTTTACAATATTGAAAATAATTTATTACAGAAGTAAAAATATATTTGCTGAATAAAGTAAAAGTATATTTCTTTTTTTTAAAAAGATTATTAATATATATGCTTTTATTATTAGAAGATTTGTTATAAAATAATATGCATATAATTGATAACATGAATATCTCTAAGATATAATGAAAGAAATTATTTAAGAAGATCGAACTTAAATTTTTTTTTTAACAAATACAAAAATATTGTTTAATTTTCATTTTTCTTTAAAGAGGTAAATTCTTTTTTTAAATCTCTATTTTTTTTTAATAAAACATTTTGTGATTTTGTATATTTTGAATACATTATTAATAGATAGGACAAAAAAAAAAAGCCAAGATTTTTAAAATATAGTTGTATTTTATTCTTAATTTTATTTTTAAAATATTAAAAAAAATACAATTGCACATGTAATAAAGAAATAAGTTAACAAATATAAATTTAAAAGAAATATATTTTTTAGATTTTCTACTTGTAATTTGCTTTAAATTATATTATTATATTATACTTTATTATTTAGTTTATTTCTATTATTCCTTAAATATAAAGGTAGTATTATTTTGTACTATTAAAAAAAAAAAATATGAAAAAATTTAATACAATTTATTCATTATAAGAAGAAAAAAAAAAAAAAAAAAAAAAAAAAAAAAAGTGAAAAGAAAATATAGTTAGTACATATCATTTATTTTTTTTTCAATATTTCGAAAAAATTTATGAAATGTAGAACTATTTTATAATATTAAAAAAAAAAAAAAATTAAAAAAAATAAATTTTCTTTTATTATGTACCTACTTTAACTAAGATATAATAAATTTATTATAAATAAAAAAAAAGTTTTATTTTCATTCATTTTATGTTTAAAAAATATAGAAGTAACAATAAGAAAAATTAAGATTTATAACACACTTTTGATAAAATAGTTATAAAATAAAAATTAGGTTTATTTTACACAAAAAAAAAAAAAAAAAAGAAAAAGATAAAATTACAGTATTTTGCTTAAGTATATGAGAAAAATATTATTTCACAAAGAAATATTTTTATATACTACAAATATTTTTCATTTTAATTAATGAAAAAAGGGGAAAAATATATATCATTATATATATATTAATTATGAAATATTTTAATGTTAAATTATAGAATAAGAATATAATAAAAAAAAAAAAATAATGCAAATATTAGTTAAAACATTAACTGGGAAAAGACAATCATTTAATTTTGAGCCGTCTAGTTCTGTTTATCAAATAAAAATGGCCATTGAAGAAAAAGAAGGAATAGATGCTAAGCAAATAAGATTAATTTATTCAGGTTTTTATTCTTAATAAATTTACTCTTAGAATATATAACTACATATGTGTTTAACTAAACAAAATTTTAATTTATTTCTTAAATTTTTCATTCCTCTTTTTTTTATTACTTAATTTATAACAATACTTCATTATTTTTATTCATTCTTTTTTTTTTTTTTTTTTTTTTGTGATTTATAAATAATTTTTTAATGTTTATTTTTCTTATATGAAATAATTATTTTTGATTATTCAAATTTGCAATAAATCCTTTTCATTTATAATATATAACTATTAATTTAGTTTTTATTTTTAATTTTTTTAAAGGAAAACAAATGCATGATGACATGAAGTTGAGCGATTACCGTGTAGTACCCGGTTCAACTATTCATATGATTTTACAACTAAGAGGAGGAATTATTTAAATGTAAAAAAAAAGTTTAGACCTTCAATTTTTTTTTATTTATATCATTGAGTTGTTTAGGTTTTCTTATTTTAAAATTTTTAAAATATCTAAAACAAACATTATGACATTTTCTTTTTTTTCTATAAAAAATATTTCAACAAATATATCAAAAACTTTTCATATCTAAAATGTAATACTTATTTTAAGTTTAAAAATTTTTAGTATAATAAATAAAAAAAATAAACTGATAAAATACATTAATATAATTTTTATGTATTAATATAAGTAATGAATTGAATTGTACAACTTTAACCATATATTTATTGAAATTCTCAAAATAAAACATTTTTGTGAAATATTCATATTTATTTTATTTGGCTTAATTTTTTATATAATACATTTTTCATGAATACAACAAAATTATACCTAATATATAAAGTATATATTGTAAATCTATAAAAATATGAAAAAATTCAGAAAATTAAAATGAGATAAAAAAAAAAAAAAAAAAAAATATTAAAATGCAAAAATAAATTTGGAAAGACAAAAATAAAAAATATTACGAATTTCTTTTTTTTTTTTTTTTTTTTTTTTTTTTTTTTTTGTATGTACAATATAAAATAAAAGAACATAATTATTATATTTTTTGATTTTTGTATTTCACATTAAATTATATACATATATACACTGTTTTAACTTTTTTAAATATGTAATTTCACATGTTTATTAAGTAAACTATAAATTTTATATAAATATAAAAATTGTAAAAATAACTTTATCTAATTAATATGAAAAGTTAATATACTACAAAAAATTTTAATATGGGCTTTAACAAAATTTTTTTTTTTTTAAATTTTATAAAGTGTTATATGTAAGTTATGGTTTGAAGAAAATAAAATGCATATTATGTTTTCAGCAAAAGATAATATAAAATGTAATTACTCTATATACAAAAACTAAAATTTTTGTATAATTTTATTATAACATCTTATTATATTACAATAATATATTGTTATTATTTTTATTAATAATATCACAATCAGTAGAATCATTCTTACTTTTCTTCTAATACTTAATTAATTATGCAATAAAAATATATTTTCTAGAAGAATATATTAATAGTTGGAAATTATTTATATATCAAAGCCTTTTAAAGATAAGTTAGAGGGTATATAAAATTTAAAATATACATTTTTTATTTATAGTAGTTTTATTTACTTTGGGTTAATTTACTTAATCTTTCTTGCTCTTGCATATATTTTGAATAGGATTCATTATTTCTTAAATTGTGTCTTTCTCCAACGATAACTATATTTCCTAATTGAGCTAAATGAATTGAACCACCCATCATTTCTTCTGTTTCTAATTGAGATCTTAATTCATTTAAGCCTTTTGCTGTATCTTTATGAGTTTTTTTTCTCCATTCGGATAATCTTAAATCAAAAACATCTTGAATTACAAATTTAATTCTTTTTGAATACATTTTTTTTCTTTGTAGTTCTTTTAATCTTCCAAACCATGTATCTAAAATATTTTTATACTTTTCAATTTGATCAATAAAAAAACCAGTTGAATAAATAAGTTGAAGAAAAGCTTCTATGCAGTATTCTTTTGGTTCTTCATATGCAATTAATAAATCATGTGCTATACTAATAACTATTGAAATAGATACAATATGCCTCTGAAATAACTCTCCTATTAATTTTACTATACCAAATAATCTTTTTTTTTGTTTTTGCTCAACAAAACTTAGTTCTTCTTCATTTTCATCATTTTTTAATTTTTCCTTCATAGTAGATTCAAATGTACTAGGTAAGTTTTCATATTCTTCTTGGATCTTTTTTAGTAATGCAATTTCAAAAGAGGTTTTTTTTTTTTTTTCAAAATTGGGTGATCTCCATTTTAATGCCTAAAATTAAAAAAAAAATAAAAAAATAATTAAATATGTAATATATATATATATATAATGCTTTTTAATATACGAAAATATATTCGTTATAAGAAAATGATATTTAAAATTTTGAAAATTATTTAATTTTCATTTTTATTTCATTATAATTACGATTATTTTATATAATTTTAATTTATTTTCATTTTTCTCATATTTATACCTGACAAACATCTGCATACATTTCTGACCAGTCATGCTCTAAGACTGCTTTATTAATAACCTGATTTACTACAGTTTGAATTTCATCCATATTTGAACGAGTAGCCATTATTTGGCAGATTTTTTCTGTTATAATAGGAAAATTTTCAACAGTTAATTTATTAAGCAAACTTTTTATCTGCCTTTCCATATATTCAAGAGGTGACATATTTTCTTTCTTTTTAAACACATATAATGCTTTTGCAGGTTTTTCAGCTACTGTTTCTTCTTTTTTTTCATTCTGATCATCATTTTTATTATCACAAACATCCTCTTCTTTTTTGTTTTCATTCATTTCATTTTCTTCGTTTTTATTTAATTTATCTTCTGTGATATTATTTTCTTTAATTTCCATATCTCTTTTAGCACTTTCATTTTCTTTGACATTTTTTTTTTCTTCATTTTTTAATTCCAAATTTTTATCATTAGTTTCCACATAATCCTTTTTTGCTTTTTTTTTATTTGACATATTATTATTATTATTATTTGTTGCTTTTATATTTTTCTCATTGGTATAAGTAATTATGGGTTTTTCTATTTGTTCATTTTCTTTTTTATTATTTTTCAAATTTTTATTTTTATTTTTTTTACTTTTTTTTTTATCACCTAATGATACATTTGTTTCATTAATTATAAATAAATCTTCTTTTTTTGATTTATTTTTTTTTTTATTTTTATTTTCATTTCCTTTTTTCGATAAATCATTTAAGTCAGCTTCCAATTGAGTTAAAATAACATCTTTTTTTTTTATAATAGAATTTATATCAATGTATTTGTCTTCACCTAATTCTCCCCAGTCATCATTATCCTCTTCTTCTTCATAAATATTTTTATTTTCTTTTCCATCTATATTTTCATTAAATGTATTATTATTCTTGTTCATAATATTTGCGTTATCGATGCTTACTATATTTGTATTATTATTATTTATAAATGCGGTGTTATTGAAGTTCATATCATTTAACTTATTTGTATCCATATTAATATTATTGTATTCATTAGATATGTTCACAGCATTTGAATGGTCATTAAAATTTTCATTTATGTTTGCTGATCTTTCATAACTATAATCATTTTGATTTGATATACCTGTATAATTATTATTTACATTTGTGCATTCTCTTTTCATATAATTAACATTTTCAATATTTTTTTTTATGGTATTCATTCGATTGGGATTAAATGATTCTGAATTTTTGTTGAAATTTGATTTCATTTTATTATTGATATAGTCATTTTGATTAATATTATCTTCTGTAATGTTTAAACTAGAATAATTATTTATTTCACTACAATTATTGTTCATATAATTCATGTTCAAATTATTCATATACATATTATTTGTATTTATATTATTCATATTCATGTTATTCATATTCATGTTGTTCATGTGCATGTAATTTATATTGTTCATATTTATAGTGTTCTTCAAATTTGTTTTATTTCTATTTATGTTTTCGTTATTTGTGTTAATCAAATTATTTTTCTTATTTTGATTATAATTCATAAAAAATGCATTTGGTACATGCGAATTCCTTTCTTGTGCATGTAAATTATTATTATTATCATTTATGTTCATAATATTGTTATTTTTATTAATATTCAAAATATTATTATTATTATTAATATTCATAATATTATTATTATTATTATTAAAGTTGTTATTATTAATATTAATATTATTATAGTTATTATTATTATTATTAATATTATTAATATTATTGTTATTACCATTATCATTATTAATATTATTATTATTATAACTATTATTATTATTATTATTATTATTAATATTATTATTAATATTATTATTATTATAACTATTATTATTAATATTATTATTATTAATATTATTATTATTATTATTATTATTATTATTATTATTATTATTATTATTATTATTGTTGTTGTTATTATTATTATTATTATTATTATTATTATTGTTATTATTATTATTATTATTATTATTATTATTATTATTATTATTGTTATTATTATTGTTGTTGTTATTGTTAATATGCGAATATTTTGCATTATTCTTAAACATAAAATTATTGTAATATTTGTTTTTTGTTAAACCCTTGTTTTCATTTATATTATAATTACTTTTTGCATAATTACAGTTACTATCATTATTATTTTCTCCTTTCATGTTATATGGTAATTCGTTTTTATTAAATTCAAAATTATTTGCACAATTATCAAAATTCAGTTTATAATTTGCAGGATTATTTAAATTATTAGGTACATTATTTAAACCAGTAGAAATAGAATTTTGATTATCAGATTCATTCTCCATATGTCCCGTAAACTTGATTTGTTGATTATTATAATTAATGCTTGCATTAAAATCTTTTTGGTTATTTTTTAAGTTTTCACCTAAATTAGAATTTCTATTTTTTAAAATGTTTGTATTGCTAATATTATCTTCATTTTTATAAGTATAATTATAATTAATTTGATTTTTATAATTATTATTCTTCTTATTTTCTTTATAATCTATATTATTATTAAAATTATTTGTCATATCATTATTTTGATTATTAAATTTACTAATTTTATAATTCTTATTCATATTTTTATAAAAAGTATTACTGTTCATGTTGCCAAAATTATTATTTAAATTGGCACTAGAATTGTTAAAATTGTTATAATTGTTTTGATTAACATTTTTCATATTGTTCTGATTATCAGAAATAGGTTCACCATTATTATAGATATCTGTATTTTGGTTATTAACATTTGTAATATTTACATTATTAATTGATGCATTAGTATTATTAAAATTTCTGTTTATTCCTCTTTCATTTAATGTATAATTAATATTTGTATTAACAATATTAGTATTTACATTTTTTACATTCGAATTACTTCTACTTGCACTTTTATTGTAATTATTTTTAATGTTCCTGTTATATTTTAAATTATCTGTATTATTCATATTTTTAATATAATTATTTTTTGTAAATTCTGAATTTTCAAAATTAGAGTTCATATCATTGTTATTAAAATTATTATTTCTAAAATTTGCTGTATTTACTTTTTTGGACCTCCAGCTTTCTTGGTCTATTAAATTATCTTTTTTATTGTTTGCCATAAAATTGTAATTATCATTATCTTTATTTGTATTTATTGACTTATTTACATTTCGAAAATTTTGATTTAATCCATTTCTCAAATTGTTCCATTCATTATTTATATTTTCAGCATTATAATTATTAGTATTCGTATTAATGGAAATTTGTTGATTATATGTTGATGGAATGTTATTATTTCGGGGATTTTTGTTAAATCTTTCCCTAAAAAAAATAAATGAATACATATAGGATTTTTAAAGCCGTAATTTTTATATAACTATAATAAAATATTTTTGAGCATTCATATATATATATATATGTTTTTTCAATTTTAATTACCACTTTTTATTTTCATTTCCTTTTTTTTTATTCGAATCTATTATTATATCATTTTTTCCCTTTGAAAAAAAAAAAAAAAAAGGAATATAAATATATATATAAATAGCATCTTTCAAAAAAATATATAAATATGTATGTTTTATATATATTTTATATTACTTCATTTTCATTTTCATTAATATCTTGAACATTTTTTTGCTTCATATCCAAGCAACTCATTTTATTTTATTTTTTTATATTTTATTTTTTTTGTTTTAATTAATGAAATAATTTAGTGAAACAATAAGAAAAAAATAAAAATTATATTGTGTAATTTAAAAAGAAATTTATATTATCGTGCAAAAATTTTTAAAGCATATAATGTATGAAAAATATTAATTATGAAAAGGTAAAAAAATGAAAAATAAAATGTATAAAAAAAATTAATTAAAAAAAAATTATATTTGTATATAAATATGTAGATAAATATATATAAATGTAAATTTTTTCATATAATTTCTTGATGTATTTAAAACTTTCAAAATGCACAACAAATGCAAGTTTATAATAAAAATTAATAAAAAAAAAATTTATCATTAAATTTAATTAAATACTGCTTTTTATAGTAAAAAAATAAAAAAAAAAAATAAAAAATTTCACTTTTTTCTATTTCATTTTTGATTTTAAAAATACATTTTGTACAAATATATATATATATATATATATACATATGTAAAAAAAAAATTCAGTAGAAAAATAGTGTACATAAATTAGCACAAACTATAATTTTTTTTTTTTAATTAAAATTATGTACATTTTTTATAAATCTGATATATTTCTTTGAGTATTCAAAAAAATATTAAATTGTAAAATATAAAAAAATTTCATCTTTTACTTATTTTAGGGAAATAATTGCATCTCTTCATAATATTTTACAGGCATTACATTTTTTTTTTTTTTTTTTTTAATTTTATATAGGCTAAGTGTACAAATAAAAAAACCTTTAAAATATATTTATATATTTAGGCATATTAAAAATATAATTTTTTATTTTGATGCTTTAAAATATCGAAAAATATTAATTTATAAAGTATTATACATGCTTTTATGTTATAATTTCTAACTTTAAGAAATTTGTGCATAATTTTATTATTCATCTTTAATTGATTGTTCAGGATTTACTTTGAAAATTAAATTAGAATATTTTTTATCTTTTATTTTTTTTATTTTAAGTAATAATATAAGAAAATTTAAGTTTATTTTTCTCACATCACTTTGAAAAATTCTACATAGTAGAAAATCTTATAATTTTTTTATAATTTTAAAATATTTCATTAAACAATAACATTTTATACCTTTAGAAGTGTTCTATTATTTTAACATTTTTTTTTTCGAGAAAAAAAAGAAAAAAAGTTAATAATCTTTAAATGAATCTTTAATAAAAAATATATTAAAAGAAACGTAATCTAATATTTTACAATGAAAATGTAATTTCTTAATTGCTTATTTTTGAAATATATAATATGCATATAAGTATTTGGAGTGTGCATATATTGTTTCATTTCAATCATTCCTTTTAAAAAAATAAGTAAAATTTAACTAATTATATTAAAAATTTTAATAAAAAAAGAAAAAAGGTTTTAAAACTTAATATATTAAGTATGTATCTTAAATTTTTCATAATGTTTTGTGTGAACATTTTAATATCAAAAAAAATGAACAAGCATAAAAATGTTACTATTATGCAATTAATTTTTGCTACTAATAGATATAAAAAAATTCATATTTCATTTTTATTACAGAAGGTATCTAATTTATATATAATAATATATACAGCGTAAAATGTTCTAGCAAAATGATCGTATTTATAAACAAAATAAGAAGTAGAATGTATTGAAGTAATAGTAAACTTTATTCTTTAAATACTTAAAAAGAAATATTTTAATATTTAAAATATAACGGAAAAAAATTATATAAATAATGTTACTTTTTACTTTTAAAATAAATACTAATATAATTTTTATGAAAATTTTTTATGAAAAAATAAAAAATTTTGAAGGATTTTAAAATACAATCTTAAAAAGTTAATGTATATGCATGTTAAAAAAAAAAATAATAGTTCTTTTTGTACGCACACAATGCGAAATGGACAACCCAAAAAACTATTATATTTTACTTTAAAAATGTAATGAAAATAATTATAAATAAAATGAACATCCTTCATGATTTATATAAATGCTATGAATTTGCAATATTAGAAAACTCTAATTATAATTCAGAGTAGATTAAATTGTATAAAGTTCAATATTATTTTTTTTTTTTTTTCAATTTAAATATAAAAAAAAAACAAAAATCCTCGAAATAACATAGAACACATTTAAATGAAAATATTAACATTAAAAAAAAAAAAAGAAAAAAAGTATATTTAATATGTATGTAATCAAAGTATTTAAAATTTAAACTTTTTGAAAATTGACATAAGAAAGAAGTATTCAAAGAATATTAATAAAAAAAGTGAATTAAAATCATGATTTATTTTTATAACCTGTGCAAGTTGTTAATGCATTAAAAAAAAAAAAAAAATATATTGAAATTTTTATAAAATTGTACACATTTTTAAATGTGTATAAGAAATGATAAAGGCCTAAGATTCTCGAAAGTTAAAATTTTAATGTAGATAAAAGTAAATTGAAATATTTTTATAAATATATAAAAATTATTTTAAAGAATTGTTTTTCCGTTAATAATTTTTGTGCGAAATTATTAAAGCATAGTAAATATTACATTGTCCAACAAACTGTTTTTATAAAATATAATTTAGAAAAATATTTGAAAATCATAAATTATTTTAAATTTTAATAATTTTTTTTTTCCATTTTTTTCTTTTTTCTTTTTTTTTTTTTTTTTTTTTTTTTTTTTTACCTCTTTTTGTATAAAAGGATATAGTGTCAAAATTTTTTTTTTAATTATTTATTCAAATTTATATACACATTTTTAATAAGTATTAAATAAAATTATAATGTTATAATAGTATTGCTATTAATCTAAGAATTGAAATAAATTGCATATAAAATAGAATAATAAAACAACTACCTTATATTTATTATTGATTAATTATTAATTATTAAAATGATTAAAAAAATTAATATTCGTTCATTACTTTTTTATTAATTGTGATATATAATTTACATAATAATAAATAGTTAAGTAGAAGAACGATTTCTATATCATTTTATGTATAAGCATTTTAAAAAAAAGAATTTATATGCGAAATAAATCTAATGAATAGTTTTGTTATATAATAAATATAAAAAATAAAAAAAGAATTATATTAAAATGAGATATTCATTAGGGTTAGATACTTCTAAGAAGATTCAGGATGTTTCTATGACAAGTGAAACGTAAGCCAAAAAAATAAAAAAAAAGAATATAAAATATTTATATTTTATAAGATATATAATGCGTTATAATAAAGACGTATATATCTATGTTTATTCTATAATTTATAAAATTTCAAAATATTACCTCGAATAATTATAAAAACGCAAATGAAAAATAATAGTAAAATTAATAATTATGCAATCATTTTATACTAATTTTTGTTTTATTTTCATTTGTACCATATTTAATTATGTTAAATGTATTTATAATTATTTTATATTTTTTATATATTTTTTTTTATTTTAAATGATTTTCATAAATAAAACATAAAAATAAATATTATTTTTAGAAATGAAAAACATAACATAATTAAAAAAAGTAGACATAAAAAAAAAAAAATAAATAAATAAATAAATAAACTAGTAATATTTAATTATATTAAAAATATAGTTTTTCTAAATCGTATAAATTTTCTATATTTGTCTTACGATTTTTTTTTTCTTTTTTACATTTAAAAAAAAAAAATAGAAATAGAAATTGTATTGTAGAAATAATGAAAAATTCCAAGGGGGAAAAAAAAAAATTGTATATTATATATTTATATTTTAATCTTTGAATATAAATTAAATATTGTATTAAATTATTGTCTTTTATACAAGATAAATTAGTAAATTTTTAATGAAAAATTTTAAAAAAAATGAGATTTTATTTTTTTTTATTTCTTGTAGTCATAAAGATATCCTTTATTTATTATCAATATAATTATTTACAATATTTATATATAACGAGTTATAAAAATTCATTAATATATAATCATTAAGTGAAAGAAATATATAGAAATAAAATTTGTATCACTAATTTTTTTTTTTTTTTTTGTTTCATTGAGTATTTTTGAAATTAATTTAACTTAGTATATTTATTTTACTTTATATTTTTTGATGTACATTTCAACATCATAGAAATATACATATATATTAAGGACATATTATTATTTTTTTTTTTTTTTTTTTTTTAGAACTGAAAATGTATATGAAAAAGAAATTAATGATATGAATAGAATAAATAGTTCAAATTCAATTATAAAAAATGAAAGCATAGATGGTAACTCATTAAATAAAAAAAAAAAAAAAAAAAAAAATTTTATGAAAATTTTTAAAAAAAAAAGGAAAAAATCGAAAAATTTGAAAGGCAAGGATTTTAATATTAATGATGATTCAAATTATTTATTTTCTAATATAAATAATGTTGACTCAAAAAAATATTTTCTATCTTTTAATGAACTAAGTAAATATGATGAAAATCTTGATAGAGATTTAGATAATGAAAAAGACACCAAGAAAAATAGTAGCAACAATACAAAAAATGAAAAAAATAAAAAAATTAATGATATAGATAAAAAAGATTCAAAAATTAGTAATAAAAGAAAAGAAGTAAATAAAGAAAAAATAAATTCACAAAATAATTACAATGAAAGATATGATAAAAAGACCAATAATGAGTATAATATAGATGAAAATTATAATTTTGAATTGAATGAAGATTTAAAGAAAGAGTTAGAGAAAATAAAAACAGATATAGATCAAATTAAAAAGAAAGGAAACTTAAGAAGAATGTATGATGATTTAAAATATATTTTATTATTTCAAAATGAGATAATTGATACATTAATTGATGATATTAGAAAAAATAAATTAAAAACGAAATATGATTTATTTGATGATTGTACTATTAAAGGAGATGTGAACAAGATGATTTTAAATCAAATTACGTTAGATCTTTTAAAATTTAAATATGTAAACACAAAATTAAAGGAACTAATTATGTGCATATATGATACAAAAAAGTTTAATAGTTTAATAAGGAAAATTATTTATAATAATTTAGATGAAATGAGAAAATTAGTTGGTAAAGATGGAGAGTTATCTATAGCAAAATCTATGTTAATTTTTTTATATAAACAATTGAAATATTGTTTGGAAGAAGAAGTTCAAAGCTATTATAATAATGTAAAAAATATAAATGACGACATTCATAATATAAAAAAAAATATTTTAAATATCATTTTTGATTCGATAAATGATGTTTGCTCTTTACCTGATCCATATTATATATATAATACAAATGAGGAAGAATGTATTGAAATAAAAAAATCAAGAGAAAAAAAATTAATGTGTCCTGTATATGCTAATGATTTAAATAATATTTTTTACTTATATAACAATATATATTCAGAGGAAAATTCTAAAGAAGTAAATCAAGATAATTTTAAGAACTATTGTTTTAAAAATAATATAAAAGGAAATTGTGAAAATTCTAACATCCACGTGTTAAATAAAAATGAAAATACAAAATTTAATGTCCCATTAAGAGATATGTATAAATCTTACATAACTAATGATAATTATGAAAATGTTTGTTCTTCTGTATCATATGCAAATCATTTAAATAACTTAAATGGTCCATATATAAATGAATCTATATGTAACAACAATAATTCGCATTTCAATAATATCATTAATAATCAACTTCCCTTAAACATTTATGGAATTAATAAAAATGTAAATCATCCATATTATTATTTCTGTAATCTAAAAAAAAAGAAAGAAGATTATCAAGGTAATATAAAAAATATTAGCTGTAACATTCCTCCCACATACAATAATAAAATATATGATAATCCCCTAAGTGTGAATAAAAATATTAGAAGAATGAGTAATAATAACAACATTTTAATGTATAATGAAAATGGTTCTTTATTAAATCATGATATAAATAAAAAAAACAGCATAACGCATTATATGAAATGTGAGAATAATTATGATAATACAAGAAATAAAAAATGCATCATATACGATAAACATATAAGTAATGATAATAATAATAATAATAATATAAGAATATATGATCAAGTGAATTATAAAAATCAAATTTTAAACAATATATGGAATGATGTTAATAATAAAATTCAAAATGATAGAAATAACGATATTCATGAAGAAAATATAAATATAATAAAAAAAAAAGAATATATGAATAAAGGTGATGAAATAATGGATATTTATGAAGATAATAATAATAGGTTCTATAAAAATAATAAAATATCAAATGAGATGAAATATGAAAAAAGTGAAATGATTAACAAAAAAAATATGTATACAGGGTTTGAAATTATATCAAGCAAAGAAGAAATGAAGAAATTAGAAAATTTTTTAAATGACAAATGGGGAAGTTTTAAATTATTTGAAAAATGGATAAGTGACTGTTCAAAATGGCAATGGATAGATTTAAAACTTCAAAGAGAGCAAATAAATGATAATATAAAATTAGAAAAGTTAAAAGAAGAAAAAAAAAAATATTTAGAAAAATGTATAAATAATAAAATAAAGGAATTATGGTGTGGTCGTATGAAGGGATTAATGACTTTAAAATTATGTGATATAGAAAAGAAAATTACAAAGAGTTTTTCATCAAATATAGTTAGTCAAAATGTAAAAGATGTTATACTAGATTTAGAAAGAAATACTATGTGTTTCGAGGATTTATATGCAAAATTTATAAGCAAAGAAGTATATAATAAAAAATTAAATTTGCTAAAAAAGTATAATGAATATAAAGATAAAAATAAGCATGATAAAGGTAATTTCAAAAATGATAAGGAAAAAATTTTTTTAGGTAGTAACTCTGAAAATATAAAGTATATACATAAAAAAAAAGGCTATGTAAAATCATTAATATATAGTTTTAATAAGAAATCACAAAAAAGTAACAATAAATATAACTCAGATTTGAAAAAAAATAGTGAATTATGCAATAAAGAAAAGAATATATATTCAATCAAAGGATATACTTCTCCAACGTATAATAAAAGTATTGAAAAAAATGAAAATAATAATGATTTTAAAATTAACTATAAAGGAATGGAGGTGAAGGAACATAAAATTAGGGATAATAATTCATATATGAATAATAGAATAGAAGATTACGAGATAATAAAAAACAGGAAATTTTATTCTTTTAAAGATAACATTTCATTGAATAAAATTGAATATATAAAAAAGGACTCAAATAATTATGATAAAAAGAAATATTCTAACTTTGAATCGGATAGCTCTTCATCAATACTGAAAACAAAATCAAATATTACACAAAAACAAGATGATTCTTTTGAATATTCAAGAAGTATTGAAAAAGATAAATATGAAAAGAAAAAAAAACACAGAAAAAGCAATATGAGTACCCTTAAAAAATTTTTTAACTTAAAAAGAAAGAAAAAAAAAAAAGAAAAAAAAAATACAGAAAATTTTTTATTAGATATTGAAAGTAATTCTAAAAATGCTAATAAGGATTATCATATAAACAGGAAAAAAGACATAATATATTCCACAGGTGAGAAAGTTGAAAATATTAGTAATACCATTGCACATGATGAATTACACTCTTTAGATAAAAATAAATGTGACAAAGAAAGAAAGACTATAATAAATCAAAAAGGAGATAATATTCATCCCTATATAAAAAAAAAAAAAATTAAATTAATAGGAGATTTATTTAAAGAAGAAAAATGTGAAATATATGATAATTCGTCAATTCAGAACAATAGATACTTAAATGATTTCAATAAATTGCATATATTAACAACAGAAAAGGAGGGAAATAAAACTTCATATTCTTCAAATGGAAGAAAAATTACAAGAAATAACGAAATGAATGGAATTAAATTAAAATTAAATAACTCTTCGAAAGGAAAAAATGAATATCTTGTAAATGAAAATAATTTAAATAAATCAAATTATGTTTTTAAAAATAGTTATTCTTTTGAAGAAAATCAGGAAAACAGTTTATGGGAAGAGTCATTAAAAAATTATAAAATTAACGAAAATTTTAATAAGTCTAATGATACTTTAAAAAAAACTGAAGAAGAAAAGAAATATAGTTTTGAATTTGATGTTACAAATATAAAAAAAAAATTAAGCGAGGATAATTTACCTTATGATTATAAGAATGAAGAGGTAAAAAACATTGAAAAAAAAAGTTCTTTAACATATTCGAATATTTCTTATTCTACAATTAAGGAAGATAATAAATATGAAAAATATTCCAGTTTGGATTCCATTAAAAAAAAAAATAAAAAAAATAAATTAAATAAATTTTTTAAAAATTTAGGTAAATTTAATTTTAAATCTTCTAAAAAAGTAAAAAAAAAAGAAAATAATTCCGATGAGATAATTTTAGATGATTTTAGCACTGTTTCAAATTCTAAAAGTGACAAAAATATATACAGAGAAAAATTAGAAAAAAAGGATAATAATGATGATTATGATCACAACACATCAAAAAGTTTTTTGACTAATAGTGATTTAAGTAATAAAAATAGCCTTGGTAAAAGTAAAATGAACATGAAAGTTGATAAGATATATTCATATATAAACAAATTAAAAGAGAAGAAAAAAAGTATTAATAAAATAGATATAAATCATAACGACGAAAGCTTAAATAATTATAATGCAGATATTTCATTAAACAAAAAAGGAGAATACGAAAAAAAAGAACTAAAAGAAAGAATAAGAATGGAAGAGGAAGAAGATATTAATAGTAAATATGAAAAATATGAATATGCAAAAGAGAACAAATCTGATGGAGAATACGAAAATATAAAAAGTAAAGATAAAAAAGAACTTTATAATAATTTTCATAATGATGATGCGATGAAAAAATTTGAAAAAAAAAGTAAAAAGGATAAAAAGGAGAAAAATAAAAATACATACGATAATTACTGTAGTTCTAGTAATAAAAATGTAGATTTAAACGATAATAATCATATAATTGAAAAAAAAAAAAAAAAGCATACTAAAATAGGATATATAATAAAAAATGATAATAATGACGTTGGTAAAATTAGATCCAGTTCTGATAATTTAAGTGAGAAGAAAATTAATAGTTCTAAATTATCTCCACGATTTGGATATAGTTTATCCAATGTTGATTTTTCAAAAAATAATGAAAATACCTTTAACAATAGTTCAAATTTTGATAGACTCACTGAAAATATATCTAAAAATAAAAAAAAAAAAAATGAAGAAATAAAAAAAAACAAAGATGAAAACAGTATTAAATTAGATGAATCAGGTAATGTAATTGACAAAAAAGAAAAAAAAAAGAAAAAAAAATTTGTAGTTACATCCTCTTTTAATGATTTAAACAAAAATAAAAACATACAGAATATAAAAGAAAATATTGATGTTCATAAGGGAACAGTTTTATCAAATGATATGGTGAAATATAAGATAGATGATGATAGTTTATATAACAATATTTATTTTGAAGAAACAAGTAATAATTTAAAAGATATTTCAAAAAGTTTCTTAAATGATAAAAATAGTTCATCATTTTATAAAAAAAATCAAAAAAGAGAAGAAAATTCATCAAATTCTCATGAGATCATAAGATTATCAAGTTTTAAATCTAGATCAGATACTAATGCAATACGTAGTGATGACCAAAAACTAGATGTATTATCATGTGGAAATGCTTCATGTAATCATAATACAGAAGTTAAAAAAGAAGATTACTCATATTACAAATATGTTCAATCAATATTGCCTTTTGGAATATTATCACAAAAAGAACATAGTGATGCTGATTCTCAAATAAGTGGAAAATTAAATGCCTCTGAAAAATTTTCGTGAAATATAAAATTGAAAAACATCTTGGTATATTCATATATTAACAACATATTATGAAATATAACTAAAATAAAAATAAACAGAAAAATGTATAAAAAAAATAAAAAATATTTTTTCTATATTAAAAGATAATTTCATCTAATATATAAAAAATATTTTGTCTTTAAAAATTTATCATTAAATAAATATGTTTTTTTTTTAGTTTTTTTTTTTTTTTTTTTCTTTTTATAATAAAAAATGGATTTAGTTTTTTATTTATGAAGTTTCTATTATTTTTTCTCAATACTATAATGGAATTAATGTAAATTGATTTTTTAGTAATATAAAATAAAAATATATAATAGTCTTCATATATTATTATTTTTTTAAAAAACTTTGTAAAATTTTTATTTTTTGAGAAATATGTTTTACATTTTTAGTATTTAAAGAGAACAAAGTTTTTAAGATTTTAAAAGACAAAACCTTTTTTTGTCCTTTTTTATTTATATTAGCTAATTTAAAGTGTATAATTTTGTAAAACTTTCAAAAAAATAGGTCATTTTAAAATATATTATGTCTTATATGGTAATATTTTAAATGAAAATAAAAAAAATATGTATTTCATTTTTTATTTACTATATTGATTCTTTAGATAATTATGTAATTCGATTTAAAAAGAAAAAAAATGATTTTAGATGGGATATTTAAAGGAAATATGTTTTACACTTAAAATATATGGTGTTTTCATTTAAAAAAAATAAAATAAAATAAAATAAAATAAAAAAGACTCTTACATAAATGTAGATATTATTGAAGATATTTTTTTTTTTTCTGATGAACTTTAACTATTTATTTAAAAGCTTTGGATAATTTTGTACATCCATAATTTAAAAAATTTACTTGATATTTTTCACTTTATAAATTAAATACTGTTTCATATCTTAATAAAAATGATACTAAAATTTCATAATTTCTTTTCAATTAAACACAACCAATTGATATACAGTATAACTTTTTTTTAAATATTATTAAATACATTATTCACAAAAATTTAATAACTAATAGTTCTATTAAAATAAAAAAAGAAAAATATAAGTAAAATACAACTACAAAAATTTAATGTAATTTAATAAATTTATAACATTTATTCAAAAATGTAAAATTGGAAAAATAAATAACACAATGAATTATTTTAATAAAATATATTTTTTTTTAATGTATGTTTGTTCTCAAATTTTATAAGAATTTATATATGCATGCAGTACTTGTAAAGTTAGATTATTTGTTTTTTAAGAAAATTATTAGATCATATTGAAAATAAATTGTGTAAAAAGAACTTAAGAAAAAATAATTAAATTTATCTTTTTTGAAAAGAGTTATAAATATTTCTCTTATTCTCTATTTGAGACATTAAAGAAAACCAGTAGGAATTTTTCTATGTAAAATTAGATTAGATACAAATAAATAGTTATATAGAAAGGTAATTTATTTATATAAATATACTATGAAGTTAAAAATTCTCTACTCTCCCCTATTTACATATGTTCTGAAAGTATTACATTATTATTAAAAGCTTTTAAAAAAAAAATTCCATAATGAATTATCTCTATAAGAGAGATTTTTTTGATATCTTGTAAGATGCATGCATTAGTATTTTAGAACTTACCTCATTTTTATATTTTATTCTAATTATCATTTTTCTTATTTTTTTTAAAAATAGAATTTATATATGAAATTTAAATAAAGATTTTTTAATTATTTATCTTCCTACTTTGTTTACTATTGAACATATATATATATATATATATTTTTATTTGTTTTTCTATAACTTTTTTTTTTAGTTTTTTTTTTTTTTTATTTTATTGAAAGTAGTTATGATTTTTCAACCTTTTTTTTAATATACGTATATATAACAATGAAATTTATATTTATATTACATATATTACTATATTTTTTAATTAAATTTATATTTTGTAAAAATGAATATGTAACTTCTGAGAAAAATCAAATTAATTCAGAATCAAATAAAAATGATAATTTAGATAATATTGATGAAGCGGAATTAGAAGCTAAAAAGAAAGAATTCAATGTTATATCAGAAAATTCTGAAGACACATATTTTGAAGATACTTCAGAATTAATTTATTATGATGATAATTTAGATAATTTAATTTCAGAAGGTTTTTTAGAAAATGACGAAAATGTGAAGAAACTAACGAAGAAACTAACAAATTTCTTAGGAGAATTAATAGAAGATGCAACTAGCAAAAATGAAAATTTTCTTGAAATTGTGGATAATAAATTATATGATACAGAATCCTTTGATTTCCCATTAAAATATATATTAAATGACAATAAAAAGGAAACATTTAATCAAAATATAGGAATAATGGAATTTTCGTGTCCTATTTGTGGTGATTATTTTAATGTAGATGAGTGTAATTACAGCATACCTGAACATAAATATATAGAAAAGCTTATATGTTCTAAGAATAATAAAAGTGATTTATTTAATAAAAATAGTTCACTTTTTTTTCATTATTTAGATAAAAAAAAATTTAACCCAATAAAAGTCAAAAACTTATCTTTTTGTCCAGATGTAAACAAGATTCGTCAAAAAAGTAGCACTATAGAAAATGAACAAAATAAGAAAACTGATAAATCTATGAAAAATCAGGCTCTTTTAAGTTTAAATAATCATTTTGAAGAAACAGAAATACATAAACTAAAGAAGTATCTGTTATATTTTAAAGAAGTATCAAACAAATTAACAACTCATAATAAAAATATTGAAGAAAATTATGATTTATATAAGTATATTAAAATATTAAAATATATTGAACACTTAAGATTTATATGTGTTACTAATACTTGTGCAAAATGTTTTTTTAATTTAGTCCATGCACTTGATTTTATAATACATAATTCTTTATTACAATATCGTAAATCCTACTTTACTTTAAGAAATATATCTATAAATGTTATTAAAGAAATGGAAAAATTAACAAAGATATTAGCCAAATTAAAAGATAAAAATTCATATTCTAATAAATATAAATATTATAAGAAATACATATCTATAGAGGCTAGTGCAAAAAATATGATTTTATTAAGTATTAATAATTATCAGAAAATATTAGAAAAAGAGTTTTTGAAATTACCTAAAAAATCTTTAAAATTAACAGAAGAAAAGAGTAATAACTAAAATTCATCTAAGAGATTTAAAAAATAAAAATATTAAATAAATTTTATTTACATATATTTTTTTAAAAATCATTAATTTTTTTTTTTTTTTTGTAAATGAAATATGTATTAAAATTTATAATTATTTACAGTACATTTTTCTTGGTTTCTTTCAATATAATATATTTGCGTATATTTATTATATAAATGAATATTATTTTGTTCTCATAATTTTTCTATTACTCTTTTGAATACAATTGTAAAAAATTTGATATATTGTTTTTAACAAGAATAAATTCAAATAATATTATATTTATCAGTAAAGTGATAGCGTATATATCAAAAGATGAAAAAAATAATTTTTTAAATAACAGATGAAAATAAATATTTGAATTGAATGTCTGTGTTAGAAATATTATTCAGTAATGGATATACCGTTAATTTAGAAAAATGATAAAAAGAAATGCATACATAACTTTTTTTTAAAAATTTTTATATGTTATTAATGTTTTGAAGTTTTTATCATATAAATATTCTATAAAAGGGTATTTGATTTATGAATAAAAAAAGATAATATTTAATGATCTTTTTTTTAAAAATATACCTTTTTATTGTTTTATTTCAATATTTTTAAATATATTATCATAAATAGATACCCTTTAAATTTTATAAATTTTACAACAATATATAATTTTTTTATTAATACTTAAAAAAAAAAAAAAAAAAAAAAAAAAAAAAAAAATTAATTATCAAACTTTGATGTATCATAATATTTTTTATTTTCTTTGAAAAACTTTTCAAAATTCTCTCTTTGTTCCTTTAAGTTCCAATCTTCATCATGATAAACATCTTCAAACAATCCTCCTACAATGTTATATCTTTTAATTTTCTCATATTTTTTTAATTCTTTTAATACTTTTTCTTTAACACTTTTTCTATGCAATTGATCTTCTTTTTCACTGTATAAATTATTATTTTTTAAATATAAAAATAATCTACTTATAGGATGAACACCCTCTTTTCTCCATGCCTCATTCTCTTCTTTTGGTCTGTATAAGGATGAATCATCTGATGTACTATGGTGACCATATCTATATGCCATGAATTCAATAAAAACTGGTTTGGACTCGTTAATACAAATATCTCTTAATTTTTTAGTAGCTAAGTAACTAGCAAATAAATCGTTTCCATCAACTCTAACTGATTCTACTCCCAAAGCTATTGCCCTAGGAGCAATTCCATCTCCTCTATATTGATCTTTAACAGATGTGGATATAGCATATAGGTTATTTTTACAAACAAACATTGTTTGTGATTGCCTTACTGATGCAAAATTGACAGCGGCATGAAAATCTCCTTCAGATGATGATCCATCCCCGCAAAATGCAACAGCAACTGCCTTTTTATTTTTTAACTTTAATGCATAACCACATCCAGCAGCATGAGGTAATTGTGATGCTAAGGGAGTTGTAATTGTATGAATATTCAGTTTTTTTTTTGTATAGCTTATGCACATTTGTCTACCTTTCCCTTCATCGTATTTAGTTCCAAAAAGTTGATTAAGTATATTAGTGTAATCAAAACCTCTAGATAGTAAAACTCCTGTTTCTCTATATTGGCAGTATAAATGATCATCTACAGTTAATGCCTTTCCCATCCCATATTGCAATCCTTCTTCTCCATCATTTACTATATAAAAAGAAATACGTCCTTGTCTTTGTATACCATAAAATATTTCATCCCATATGGAAAATTCTACCATATCTTTGTAAATATTTACTATTTCTTCCTCTTCAAATGGAGGTTTATGACCATCTAATAAATTTCCATTCGTATCTAATATGCGAAATATAGGCATTTTTATAGATTCTTTTACTGTTTTCAATTCAGTGGAAAATTCACTATGAGTTAATCCATCATTATAAATCTTATATCCAGAGAAATTACATTTCTTATTTAAACTAAAAAACTTATTTTTATAATTTAATTTTAAATAGTTTCTATATAAATATTTTTGAACAACGTTTCTCATTTTTTTGAAAATAAATGTATTATTTTATTTTTTTTAATTTTTATTTATATTTATTAAAAAATATCGTATAAATACACATAAAATATATTAAAATTGTTTAAATGTAAACTATTATTAAATTAACTTAAAAAAAAAAAAAAAAAATTAAAATTAAATTCATACAAAAAACTAGTAATTAAATCCATTCAAAAAAACTTAAGTAAAATAATTATATAAAAAATTCCTTGTTATACATAATATAAATTCTATTGAAATTTATTTTAAAAAAAAAAAAAAAATTTCTTTTTATTATTTATTTGATTAATTTTTTAAAAAATTATTCTCTTAATATTTATTTTTATATAAACATTTTTGTTCAAACTATTATTTAAAATTATTTATCTTTGTAATTTTTAATTGTAATAATAAAATTTACTTTTTTATGTTTTTTGCTATTTTTTAACAATATTTTAAAATATTTTAAATTTATATAAAATTATACAAAAAATTAATTTTTTTTTAATTTAAAATATTATTGTTTTTTTAAAATAATTTCGAAATGCTAATTTTTTAGAATGACTTTTACATAAATTATTTTTAAATAAAATGATTTTTTATCAAATTTAGAAAAAATGGTATTTTAAAGCATAAATATTAAGAATAATTTATTTACATTTTAATAATTATTAAATAAAAATAAAGTATATTACAAGGGTAAAAGCTACCATATATCAGTTTTATTCTAGTATATATTTTACTGTTATTATATTATATATATATTTCCATATTAAATTATTTTTCTACTTCAATAAATAGTCAAAAAAAAAAAAAAAAAAATAAAATAAAATATATTATAAATTACGAAAAATATAAAGTTACTATAATATACTATAAAATAGAACATCCATAAATTTTCAAAAGGTTTTTTATATCATTGTATTAGAAGATAGAGAAAATTATTTCATAAAAATATAAGAAAAATTATTCATTATTAAAACTTACCCTTAAACATTTTTTTGTGAATGTTATAGTAGTATTAAAATAGTCCTTTATCAAACATAAAGTCCATCTTTATCTATATATTAAGAGAGTCACAATTTTTTAATTATATATTTTATCAATGAAAATAAAATGAAATATATATACTAACAAGTTATGATATTTTCTAAGGAATTTTTATGAATTTCTTTATTTATGAAAAAATTTTTTATATTATTTTTTTTTAAATTATAGAATATGCACCTTTTTATGTACACTTGTATTGATTTTTCTGCTAAAAATTTTAAAATAAAATAGACGAAAATACATTAAAATAATCAATATGTATTAAATCAGTAGATAATACAACATTTTATGAATAAAGAAAATTAGATAAAATAAAATATATCCATTAAAAATTAATATTTAAATTTTATATTAAGTAAATATATCAAATAAATCATATAAGAAAAAAATTTTATTTCTCCATTTTATATTATATTAACTTATATAGAATTGTAATTGGTCACTCTTAATATTGGAATTATTATTTACATAATTGCGTTATTATTAATGTCACAATAATTCTTACATAAAAACAAATAAATGCTTGCAATCATTAGGATATATAGAACCTTTATTATTTAATAATTCATTGCTTTTTTATTTTGTTGATCTTTTAATTTAGTTTATTAATACATTTATTACTTTTTTTGTTTGTTCTTTTTTTTTTTTTATGGTAACATCTAATATGTTTATAAAATTAAAAGAAAAGAGGTAGAAATGCGTATATATATATATATGTGATATAAACAAAGAATGGCGTGTGTTTAACACACAAAATAAGCGTATAATACTTTTCTATCTTTTATGTTTCCTTATCATTGCACTTACAAAGTTGTTTTAATAGATTTGTACTTTTTAAATATATTTAAATATATATATATATATATATTTTTTTTTTTTTTCTTCTTCTTTATAATTAATTGAATAGCTATTTTCTAGCTATTTAAAAAAAAAAAAAAGTGCATGCAAAGAAAAAAAACACTTCTGTTAATTTATTTTTGAATACGAACACAAATGTTGAACAACAGAAAATCTATAAAGAAAAACTATTTATCGTTGTAAAATAAAATATTACTTATATATATATAAATATATATATTATAATATATGTATATTTTTTTTATTATTTGAATATTTATGATATGAAATTTGTTAATAATTTCCACAATTAATTTTAGTCTACATAAAAACTTCATATATAAAATTATAAAAATTCAAATGTTATTCAAAATTATAGATGATAAAAACAACGTAATCCAAGTGTGTTAAAAAAATTTTTTCTTTAATATTTAAATTTTTATTGCGTGCAAAATTTTTTTTTATCAATATAAATTTTTAATTTTAATTTTGAATTTTCAAAACTCTCATTAAAAAAAATTAGGAAAAATTTTTAGTTTTATAGGCATGTTAAATATATTATTGTAAATTTTACATAGTTTATGTGCATTTTATCTTTCATCTTCAATTTGCTATTTCTTGAAACTTTAGAGATTTATAATTTTTCATAAGGAATAAACTAATTAGTACTATTAAAAATTATTTAATTTATATCAAATTATAAAAATTTTCAAATAAAAATATATTCTTTTATGTATTAAGTACTAAATTTAATAAGGTAACGAAAAGAATTATAAAACTCAAAGTAATTATAAATTTTATTTATCTATATACCTATATATATATATATATATATATATATGTGTTCTCATTTAAGTAATATTAATTTGTTATATATATACTTATAGGATTCTATATTTAAATATAAGATTATTACATAAATATAAACATATTCCAATATATTTGTATATATTATAATTTTTTTTCTAAGGAAAAAATGGCAACAGTTATATCTCCAGTAGTTACAGTACAACAAGCACCAGTAGTTTACACTACTTACAAGGTTGTTCCTCAGACAGTTGTTTACACTTTACCAAGCGCAGTACCTGTTGTTAAAAATGTTCAAGTAATTCCTACTCAACCTGTGTGCCTTGCATATGCATACACAACTCCTATGACAGTTATTATATAATTTCATTTGGTTGTAACATGAGAAACGAAAAGGAGAAAATATGGAATTGAAAATTTCCTTTCATCTATAAATTTACATATATATATATATATATTATTATTATTTAAAATTATTTATAATTACGTAGATTAAATATTAAGTTATATATGGTATAAGAAATAAAAATTATATAATTTTTTTTTTGGAGATATTTAAATTTTAAAACATCTTTTTTTTCCTTTTTTTTTTTATATAATATTAATAGTTAAAAGAAAGGATTTTATTCAATAACATATATATGTAATGTATCTTTTGAAAATTAATTGATTACAATTTTTTTTTTTTTACATATGAAGATAAGTCTTCTTTTTCTCCATATATATTTATTTTTCTTTTGTTAGATGAAACTTTCTGAGAATATACAATTTTTCTAATATTTTTTTTTTAAAAGTAATTTATATTTTGAGGTGTTTTTGTTTTTGTTTTTTTTTTTTTTATGTATAACAACATTTATATTGATAATAAAGTCATTTTTTAATTTTTTAAAACAATATCAGAATAATTTAATGCTTAAATGAATTATAGAGAAAGTATGAATTTTATCCTTTTCTTTATTATTTTTATTAACTTCTTAATTTTAAAGATATAATTTTATTTTCTCTAAAATTTTTAGATATGTAACTAAAATATAAGTAAATATAATAAAAAAAATATAAAATTAAAAAGTATACATTTTTTAAGATTTAATTTTTTCTTCTTATACTAATTTAAAGTTAGCTTACTGATTATATATTAATTAGTAAGATTTATTTATTTTTTTCTATTAAAATTTTTTCATTTTTGCACTTTTGAATTACAAAAATGTACATCTCATATAGGTAAAGTTTTTTTTTTTTTTTTTTTTTTTGTCTAAATACATAATTTCCTTTGTTAGTGTTACACTTAAATTTATAATTCGATTATTAAGTGAATTTATTAAGATGTTAAGAACGACTTTTTATTTTATTTTTTTTAAGAATACACACTCTTTATATGTATGTCCAATTCTATGTTTTATGACTTAATAAATTTAAAAAGAAAGTGCACAAAAAAAAAAAAAAAATTTTTAAATAAAAATTTTATTTTGTTATTATCCTAATACGATGAATTTATAATATAATAAAGAAATTATATTATTTATTTTTATTTAATTATAATAAATTAATTTATCATTTTTTATTAGTATAATTTTTGGTAATTACATTATTCACTTTGTTTTTATCCGTAAAAAATTATTAATTCAACATTTTAACATTTTTTTTTTTTTGTTATAGTAATATATATTTTTTTCCTAATAAAAATGACAAGATATGTTATTAATACAATTTTTCCTAATGTTACTTATCACAATTATAGGAATTTAGAAATTTTAAATATGGGCAATTTTTCTTTAACATCCATTAATGCTACTACACCTGCTATGATATTAAATGACGTGAGCACTAATGTTCATGTTGTTCAGAAAGAACGACCTAATGCTATAGTAGCAAATAATGTTGTTACAAGAATAGGAGAAAATTCAGTTATTGTTGTTAATAAAGATCAAGATGTAATAATGAAAAGATATATAAATATTAACCCTTCATCTATTATATTGAGCAACTAGATTTATACAATAACTAAAAAGTAAATTTTTTTTTTTTACCATAAAAATTCTGTTATTGAGATTTATCGGAATGTAAACTTCGTACTCTTTATTTTAATTATGTTATTTATATATATAATTAAATTAAAAAATATCTTGTAAAATTTTAGTGGATTAAATAGTCTAAATATTATAATTTTAAAATATTTTTATTTAAAAAATAATTTAAAATTACTAATATTCGATCTCTTTATGCTTTTATGTGTGTATTATCCCATTTTTTTTAATTTATATATAAAATGTTTTTTTATATATTACTTTTTTATTTTTGTTTATATTAAAACAAAAGAAAAAAGATTAAAATAATTATTCTTTATTTTATTTTGTTTTAAAAATGGACAATATTTTGTATTAGCGTCTTTTTAATATTTTTCTTCTAATAAAAAATTTAACATTTTCATAACGTTAAAAATTATCACACTTGTTGATATTAATACTTGTTCATTAAATATCATTAAGGAATTGTTTAAAATAGAAAATTATTGTATATAAATACTTTTAAAGGTTTATTAATTTTTAATAACATAAAAAAATAATTTATTAGTAAAATTTTAAGACATTCAACTATAAATTGCTAGGAAATATCATTAAAATTTTCTATGACAATAATTTTTTAAGAAAATTAATTTTAAGTTCTTTATCAAGTTATTATTTATATGTAATAATAAACTTATTTTTTTTTTTTTTTGTATTGTACTCTATATATATTATTAACATTTATATAAATTAATAACTTTTTTTTTAAATTCAATGTCTAAATTATTATTAATGCAATTTAAAATTTATAGAACGAAATTTTTCAATTAAGTTGAAGAATGAACTGTTTTTTTAAATTATAAATGAATAACTATGATCTACTTGGAAAATAAAAAATAATAAATATTATAAAAATAAAACTTTTTAAAATATCATTAAATTTTAGGAAACATTCTTAAAAAATTTTTTTATAAAATATATTTTTCTTGTAGAGGTTTAGTATATTTTCTAAAAATATAAAATGTAAATAAAGAGTGGATTTATTTCATTATTTCTTTGTTCATATGTTTTTTTTTTTTTTGAGATCTTCAAAGTATTTTAAATTAAAAGAATTGAGCTATATAAGATAGTATGTCTTAAATAAAAAAAAATTCTTAAATTTAATTTTTTAATAAAATCTTTAATTTTCTGATTATTTCTTAGCTGTTCTGGCTTTTAATTTGAAAATTAATTTATTGTAAAGTAAAATAAGCCATAATAAAAAAAAAAAAAAAAAAAAAAAAAAAAAAAAAGCTATCAGCATATTCAGTCATTTTAAAAGAGTAAGAAAATAAATCACAATTATCATTTAGAATATTTAGAATTTTTATATATTTAACATCTTTTTATGAGAATTACATATACATTAAAGCAAAGCTTAACACTAGACACTCCATTGCTTTCATGAAGTAGTTTTATCATAATAATGAGAATATAAAAAACAATATTTTCAAATCACAGATGATGGTACATAAAAAATTTTTGCACACCGGAAGATGGTAAATCGTATATTCATAATTTTTTTTTCTGATTTTATTAAAAATTAGTAGCTAGTAAAAACAGAAAAAATATAACCAATCAAATTATTTTAAATTATTAATTTAATTTTCATTTTTTTTTTTTTTTTTTTATAATATTTTTACTTTTTAATTTCTGTCACGTATTTGTTTTTAATCCGTAGCAAAATATACAATTTTTAAAGAGTTAATATTTTTATATTTTATTGTTTTTTTAAACATCTTTGCTTAGTTTGCTTTAACAGAAAATTTTACATTTTTTTTTCTTGTAAAAATACTATTTTTAAATATGTCTATTGTATATGTTCCAAATTCAACCATGGTTTACAGGACGTGTGTCTCTGTTCCAGTAGTTTCAACCCCAACAGTTTATACAATTTCAACGACACCAACGATTGTCTCTGCACCAGTGCAGGTTTACCCATCAACCTTAATTGTATCAAAGCCAATGGCAAGTACTACTATTATTTTATAAAATTCAAGAAATTGATTATTGTAATATATTTTAATTATATTAACTATGAAGCAGTTGAAAAATTATTACAAATAAGTAAGAAGAATGAATAAATTCAAAATATTAAAAATGATGCTGTAACTAAAATTATACAAAAATCAAAATGAACTTTTATGAAGAAGAACAAATTTAAAAACTTAGCTAGAGAATAAATTTATTTATTTTTTTTTTTAGAACAAATATTGTACTTTAAATATAAAAATTTAATTAAAAAGCATGCATATTTTATACCTATTTTTTCTAGTGCTATATTTTCCAGTACTATTTTTTCCAGTATTTTTGTCATTCGTATTTACATTTTAACTTTTAATAAAATTTAGCATAAATTCATATTTCATTTTTAAATTAACTGTACAAGAAAAATTTTTATTTATTTTTTAATTGATATATTAAAAGAAATTGAAAAGGTTATATTTATTAATATTTGTATGAAATTTATATTTCATATATTTGATAAAGTAAAATGAATAATAAAAACATAAAAATATACAAAAATTTAAAGATCATAATACAAATAATAATTAAATTGTTTTTTTTTGTTAGAACAAACCAAATAAAAGTATATGTGTATGCATATAATTAGTAATTTCAGAAGACTAAATATTATTTTCATTAAAAATAGATCTAGATGAAATTCATTCTACGAAAAATTGAAGTGAATACTTAAAAAAAAATAATAAAAAAAAGCGTTTTTTTTTTTTAGATTATGATAGTTCAAAATTTCAGTTAATTTTATAAATTGTTTAATCTATTTTATATTCCTTCCTGTGATTTTTCACTTTTAAGACTTCTCACATACATATTGTGTGTAATTAATGATTTTATATTTTTAATTCTTTTAACAACATCATCTACTAAATCTGTAAAGACATCAAATTGTTTAATTACTATATTTGAGAGTACTGCCTGCTTTACTGCATCAGGTAGTACTTTCACCTGAAAAGCATAAATACAACAGTAGCCATAATTACTTTCTACTTCAGCATGTACAACATCATTTGGTGTTATAGGTCCTATACCACCATGAACAATTGATATTTTTACATTATATTTATTTTGAATATTTTCAAATTCATCTAAAAAAATATCAAACATTCCAACATAATTAGTTCTTATTATAATAGGTATTACAGGGCGATTTTTTTTTGGTAATTTAATTTCTTCATTTGCTTGTGTATCTACAGAAGCTCCTTTTGTACTTTTTTTATCATATAGATATGCATTAATTTCCTCTTCTGTTAGTTTCTCTTCTCCTAGAAGATTTCTCTTCATAATTTCGTTTTTCAATATCATTTGTTTTTCATAAAAAATTTGTCTTTCCTTCTCAATTTCTCTCTGTTTTGTCTTGTTTCTCCATCTTTCCATTAATTCATTATTTCTCTGCAATACTTTTTTTGTCCAACTTTCCTCGCTTTCTTCATAATACCATGGTTCATTCAATTTTCTGGAATTTTCGTTATCATTCTCATATGTTGGGTTTTCAGGGCTTTCATTAATTGCTGATGTGTCATCAAATGTGCGTAGACCCTTCCTATATTTGTTTTTTCTCCCTCGGACGGTTATTGATAACTTTTCTTTAAATGGAATATTTGTACATTTAGTATAAATACTTTCTTTATTTTTTTCTTCTTCTTTTTTGATTTCTTTCTTATCTTCTTTTTCTAATATATTATTACTTTCGTAATTATTTACATCTTCATGGTTTTTCTTATTTTGTAGATAATGATTATTAGTTTCCCAATGGTCATAATTATCTTCTACATCATTTTTACTATTATTATTTTTATCCATGTAATTATCGTTTATGTTAATATAAGAATTATTTTTAAATTTAGATTCATTATGGTCTAAAGAATTAATGTTCATTAAATTACGAGAGTCATTTTTTATATAATCATTATCTTTATAATTTTTAGTATTTTCAATCTGATTACAATTATAAAATTCCTGAATTATATTACTATCTTTATGTTTCGTAAATTTAGATAAGTTATAATCTTCATTAAATTCTTCATTTGTTTTTGAATCTTTAAGAAATAAAAATGTGTTATCTTCTGGTATTAAAATACTTCCACTATTATCATCTTCTGAAAGAATACTTTCTAATTTTTTTTTTTTATTATGTTTTAAATTATCATTTTTATAGTTTTCTTCTAGTTCGATTTCTATTGATTCATTTTCTTCTTTTCTTAACTGAGTATTACTTTTGTGAAATTCTTCCACAGATACATCATTAAATATTTTCTCATTTTCTACTCCAAATTCTTCAATGGCTTTTCTTTTATCAGACATTTCCATTCTGTTTTCGTAAATACCTTCCCCATGAAATTCATTTTTTTTCATATCATTTTCCCATGAAACTTTAATTTCTTTTCCACTAACTTGCAAAGTGCTTAATTTTTCTACCATAAGCCTATATTGACATAATCTGAAAGCATTATTTTGAGGTAGGGTAAAAATTAAATCATCTGTTGTTGCATTTCCATATTTTTTAATTCCTGAAATTTGCACTGCCATTCCAATAGAAGCATAAGTACAATATTCTTTAAAGTTACTATTAAATTTGTACATTTTCTGAATTTTACCATACGCAGAACCACATATAAAATAATTTCCTTCAATAAAAAAACCATTTCTTACAATTACATTCAAAATTGTTCCTTTACTAGAATCCTTACTTATATCCACAACAATTCCCATACCAAATGGTTTTTTATCCAAAGCTAATAAAAAATCTGATTTTCGAATATATTTTTGCAATAAACTTGTATCATAATTATTCATTTCTTTTTTTGTTTTATCTTTAATATTTTCCTGACAACTATTACTATTATAATTAAGTGTATAGCTTTTTTTAATAGAATCATAATTATTATAAAAATCATTTACGTTATGATAAGGAATATTTATATTTTGGGAAATGAAAAATATTCTATTAATTAATTTATTCAAATTATAACCAGTTAATGATGAAATGCTTATAGAATTATCAATTTCACTGGAAAAGTTATGCTTTAAATTGCCTTCATCATACATTTTTCTACATTGATTTTTTAACTCAGCCTTTACTATAGATTCATTTTCCTTATATAAATCAACTTTATTTAAAGCAAAAATAACAGGAATGTTAAATTTATCAGCATATTTAATTGCTTCTTCAGTTTGTATCTCCGCTCCCACTTCTAATGAAATTAATATAATTAAAATATCAGAAAGAAAAGCAGCTCTTCCTCTGAATATTTGAAATACTTTATGACCAGGAGTATCAAGAAAAGTAAATTTAAATGTTCCTTGTTCAAAGTGTATTGGTTTTATATTTTGTGTAATACAACCAGCTTCATTTAATGCTAGATTATTGTTTGTTATTTTATCTAATAATGTAGTTTTTCCATGATTTATATGACCTATTACAGATATAACAGTATAATAATTCTTTTTCTCACCAAATGTTTTACTATATTCATTCGGTAATAATGAAAAAATATGTTCATTGTGTATATCATCTTTAATAAATGATTTATTTAAATTATTCTTATTACATATACTATTTATATTTGTTTTTTGACTTGTTTTTACATTACTATGTTGTTTCAATTTACTTTCATAATATCTTTCCATAGAGTATGTTTTTTTATATATATCTTTAAGAACCATTTCATGTCTATTTTCTTCTTCACATAACAGTTCCACTTCAATAAGTTTTGGTTTAAATTTAAAAATTTTACTAACATAAGCAGCGACACTGTATGGTATAATAACATTTCTTTTGTTAACTGTTTGAAATATTCTATCATCTGAATCTTTCCAAGTATATTTATTTCCATTTTTATATACATTAGCGGCTTTAAAACATGTTTCATAATTTATATTTAGCATAAGACGTAATTCGTGAATAGATATATAAGGAGGCAATAAAATTATGGGAGATTTTTGTTTTCTTCCTTTTATCAATGTTTCTCTATATATTCTTCTACCAACAGGTATATATTTTCCTTTATATAACAATTTAGTGCAGAAATATATCATATTTTTATTATTTATTATTTTTAATTCAGTTTATATCCTTTAAAAAATATTAAAAAAAATTACAGTTTTTTCATCTCATTTTAATACATCAAATTAAAATATAAAAAAAAATTTTACTCTCTTATTTTATAAATCACAGATTTACATTATTCTAAATAACTACAAAATTCCAAATAATAAAATTTTTAAATAATTTAAAATACATTCTATTCATTTTAATTTCATAATTGTGGATTTCTAAAAATTTTATATATTTATAGTGAAATTAAAAAAATAAAATAAATATAAGTATATAAAAGTAATAATTTTTTTTTTTTTTTTTTTTTTTTTTTTTTTCTGTATATAAAACTTTGTTCCCATTTTTATAATTACATTTTTATTTAATTTTAATTATTTATAATCATATGTATATATATGTAAATTTAGTAAATTATACTTGGTAAAATAAAAACATAAACTATAATATTGTTAAATAAAATATATATAAATTTAGACTGTTTCAAATTATTCCTATTTTTAAGTTTAATATTCTCATAATATATAAGCAAAATTTATAAAAATTATGTATTATATAAAAAACATATAAGTTATAGATTAAACATAATAAAAGTTAAAAAAAAAAAAAAAAAAAAAAAAATACAAGTAATAATGATAATTATAAAGAAATGGGACATTTTAAAACCTAAAACTTTACTTTTTAATTGGAATAAATATTTTGGTAATATTCTTATTAACAATGATAAATATAAGGATTTAAATACAAAAAAACCATACTACATGTTTAACCAAATTAGATGGAAAAAAAATAGAAAAAAAAGAGAAAGGATAAATTTAAATGAAGAACAAAAGAATACGAAATTAAAAATCCCTCCTATAAGATTGGAAGATAGAACAACTGTATGTGAAACTCCAACAGTTATTAGTAAAAATATAAGGAATGAAATAATGAAAGTATGTGTAGGAAAAGAAAGAACAAGAAGACATTTTAAATTTCGAAATAAATACAGAATTAAAAAATTATTAAGTCTTACACATGATAAAGAAAATGTAAAACATAATAATCCTAGCACTTTTATAACTCCTTTAACGAAGTTACAACATGAATCTACTTTACCAAGAACACTAAATCATGACCGATTTAATTTTCCTCATTCATTTCAATACTCAGTAACTTGGCATGGTTCATCTATAGTTGATAATGAGGAAAATAATATATGCTTTTTTAGTTCTAATATAAATGATTTATTATTATCCCCAAAAGAAAAAAGAAAATTAATTGAAATATTGGGAGAAGAACGAGTTGATTTAAAAAACAATTTAATTTATTTAGAGAGTAATTTTTTTAATACTTATAATCATAATGCTGCTTATTTAGGTGATGCAGTACAATTTTTAATGAAAAGAATTAAAGTTTTGTAAAAAAAAAAAAAAAAAAAAAAAAGGTGAAAAAAATATAAATATCTACAGGAACTACTTATATGAAAAATTTTAAACAAATAAAAAAAGAAAAACGAATATACAAATATATATTTTTAAGACAATCTATAATGGATATATTTATCGAGGGTCTCATCGGAATATTTTAATTTCTCAAAACTATCTTTTATATTCTATGAAAAAACAACAAATATATGAAACATTTTTTGTTTTTTTTTTTTTTATCATCAGAGTTATTAATAAATCATTATATTAAATATTTTTAACCTTTAATTCTTCATCTGTGATTTTAAGAATTGGAATTTGTTTTGCAATTAGATCAAATAGTTTACTATGTTTAATTTTTACACTAAAAATAAAATAAAACAAATAAAAATGTTAATTTTTTCTTTATAAATAAACTTTCATTTATCTATTATATTTTACTATGTATAATTTATGTATATATATATATATATTTTTTTTCTTTTATTTCTTTTTATATTTGAAAATTATTTGTTTTTTTGGTTTTATTTCATTTCTTTTTTTTTTTTTTTTTCAAACGTAAATACCAAATTTGTTTAATCTTACTTGGTATAAGAATTTATTATTTTTATAATAATTTTTGAGGGTATATTTATATCAGAATTTAAAGCGCAATGAATGTATAAAGAAGCTATTTTAAATAGTTCAATATTTTTATGTTTTATTTTGCTATAGGATCCAATTATATGCACATAAGAAATAAAAATGTTATATAATTCTTTTTTACTAAGATTTTGTATATTATTTTTGTCGCGTTCATATAATTTAATTATTGCATCAGCTAGTTTATTCATGAAATTTGTATTGATTTTATTAAAATAAGTAAAAGATAAACATATTAATGATAAATCGTGAATAGAATATTTATCAATGGATGAAAGTATTATATCAATACTATTTTCATATATTTTACTATCATTGATTTTAATTTGTTTAAAATAATTAATAATTAATGATATTTCTTTAGGTGTTAATTCTTTTTGTAATTCATAAAATTTATGTTCTATTAATCTCCAGATATGTAAGTCATGTATTTGATAATTTAATGCTTTATGAGTTAATTTAAATAATAAATTTCCTGATTTACAATTTTCAACTGATTTATATAATTCATAAAGATAATAATTTGAATCACTATTTTTTATTTTATATTGTGTGTAGCTAATTGTTTTCTTCATTAAATATATATAATGAAATTTTTCTAATATCTTACATTTCTTATATGAATCATAAAATAAATGGATCATTTTTTTTTTTTTAAATATTTATCTTTTAAATAATACATTATAATTTTAAATGTTAAAAAAAAATTACAGAATTAAATAGTTCATTTGAATTTTAATAATTTTTTACTATATAAAGAGGCATATATATATATATATATATATATATATATATATATATATATATATATATGGTTAATATTTGTCCCTTTTAATGTTCAAAAGAAAAAGCTATATCCTAAAAAAAAATATATGTTTATATAATTAATTTATTTAAAATTTTATAAATATTTAAACTATAAAAAAAGAAAAGAAAGTTTTAAATCATTTTTTATCATTAAGGAATGTCAGATTTTTTCAAATTAAAAAATAATGTAAAAATTATATAAAACAAAAATAATTTTTTTTTTTTTTTTTTATGCATAATTTAAAGAATAACATTAAAACATATAAATGAAATAGTAAATAAAATAAAATATGTTTAAGTTATCTATTTATTTTAAAAATATGAAAAGATAAAATTGTATTTTTTTCTTATATATTTTTCCTTTTTTTACATATATAAATAAAATGTGTCGAAATTTTAATATTTGCTTTTCATTTAATATTTTTTATATTCTTTTTATTTTAAAAAATTTTTTTTTTTTTTTTTTTAGAATAATATGACAAAAATTGATGATATTTAGTAATATGTAATAAAAATGTTCTTATAAAACTATTAAATTAAACAAAAGATGGATATTAATTTATATATTCATAGTATTGAAATAGAATTTTTAAACAAAACAAGTTACATGCATAATAATGAAAAGGAACAGGAAGATAATATAGTTTATTCTTTAAACTTGAAAGTAGAAGATAGTATACATGAAAATAATGAAAATAAAAATATACAATTTTTTGAAACTCCATGGTATATATGTTTTAAAGCTAATGGTCATGAATTATGTATGATGTCTTATGAAATTAATATTTCCCATATTTTTAATTTACTAGAAAATAATGTATGTTATTTTTATAAATAAAAAAAGAAAAAAAAAAAAAAAAAAAAGGAAATAAATTTTTATTTTAAATAAGACTTTTTATTATACTTTAATACATTATTCCTTTATTTTTTATTTTAATTTTTTAGGAAAGATTAATTTTATACTTGTTAAGAAAAAATTTAAAAAATGATAAAGTAGAATACTTACATAGAAATGAATTAAACATTAAAGATGAAAAATTTTATGATAGTACTAATTCAATAATTTTTGAGAGTAATCAAGTAAAAGGAAAAATAAAATTGTATTTTAAAAATGGAGTAATATACAATAATTTACTAAATAAAATTAATCTTAATGACTTTTTAAAAAAAGAAGAACCATTTGATTTATTATTAAAATCAGAAGAATTTGTAAAAAATAAACTTAAAAGTGAAGATATTGATAATATATCTCAAAATAAATCCATAGAAAATGATTTTAGCGAATTAATAAATTCAGGTAAAACATTATATTGGATATACCTAGATGATGATAATAATGAACAAGGACCATTTAATAGTAAGACAATTTTTAATTGGATAATAAGTGAATATTTTGAAGATAATACTTTTATAAGATTACATGATAAAAAGAAATTTTATAAATTATATGAAGTTATTGAATACATAGAAAAAAATGTCTTAATGAGTTCACAAAACGATCAATTAAATAATCATTTAAGTGGTAATTTAGAAAATAAATTTTATGATAATATAAACAAAAAAGATGAAATTCCAATTTTCGATAAATTAAAAGTAGATGCAAAAACGAACGATTCTGAGGATATAAAAAAGGAATATGTAAATAAAGAAAATGAAATTTATTATTATTTAAAAAATATAAATAATAAAGAATATAAAGATCAATCTAATACGGAACAAATTAATAAAAATGAGAATAACGAGGAATTAATGAGAAAAAATACTACTTGTGAAAATCTAACGAATTATGTAAATAAAAAAAATGAAGAAAAGGAAAATGACAATGGAATTAAAAAAAATATAACACCGTATGATGAAATAAATAATACATATAATAGCAAATTAAAAATAGAAAATGATATGAATGATAATCGATATAAAGAAGAATATCAAAAAATTGATGTAAGAAATAATAATAATACAAAAAGTTACAAAAACACAAAAAAAAAAAATGAGGTAAAACAATTAAAAAAAGAAATTAAGAAGATAAAAGAAGAAATGATAAAATTAAAAGAGAAAAATTATAAAAAAAATCTTTTAATTAATGATTTTTCTGGCAATGATTTATGTTATGCCTCCAATAAAGGAAAGGATGATAAAGAAGAAAATATACCTTTAAAAGAAAATAATGATATTATACAAAATGAATTGCATCCTAATACTATAAAAGAAAATGACACTAATAATAAAAATATTCATGAAAATAATAATAACAACGATTACCATAATAAAACACCCGATGAATTGGAGGAAGACGAAAAAAAAAAAAGCACGAATTATTCTAGTATTTATAATATTGAGACGAAAAAAAAAATTAATTCATCAAATAACATTAATGAAGAATTTAAAGTTGAAAAAAGCGAAGAAAAAAAAAAATATATTGAAATTGCTTTGAGTAGTATAAATCAAGCTCAAGAGTGTCTTTTGAATATAAAAAAAAAGAGAATTGCTTCATACTTGAATAAAATAATAAACTTATCAAATTATGATAGTTCAAAATATTTTTGGAACGATAGAACAGAATTAAATGACACTAGAAATATAAATATAAAAAGAGATAATGAAAAAAATTCTTCAATAAAATATAGTAAATGTATTAATTATTATGATTCAAGTATGCCTTTTATTTTTACAAATAATTCAAAAAAAAAATATACATTAGATGAACCAAAAAAAAAAAAAGATAAAGAAACATATAAATTTCCTAAAGAACAATCTATTAAGAAATTGATAATAAATGTGCCACTAAAAGGAACAGAAACAGAAATAGAAACAGAAATAGATAGCTTATCAAAAATCAACAACAAAAAGTTATTAAAAAATTTTAAGTCAAAAAATACTGAAAATAAAGAAAAAATGAAAAAAAAAAAAGAGGAAGTTATTAAATTATGTTTTAATATTTTAAATAATAATTCAAAGATTATTTATGATTACAATTTAAATTATGATAAATTTTTAAAATATGTTACTTTAATACAATATAATGTAAGAAAATGGCTAAAAAAAAAAGGAATATGTAATAATATATTTTATTATCATCATTATTATGATATACCTAACTTAAGTAAGTTAAATAATTTAAATTATAAGAAACTAAATAACACACATAATAATTATATTAGACGAAAAAATGAAGAGAGAAAAATAAAAGAAGCTTTAAATTTAAAAAACATTCAGAATTTAAGAAAAAAATTTTTAAATTATGAAAATAATAATATTTATGATACATATAATTTTGCTTTAGAAAATAAAAAATTAAGAGAAAATGAAAAAGGTTATTTGGATGATATAGCTATTTTATGGAATATAAAAAAAGAAAAAGACTTATGTTTTAGTAATTTAAGAAATAATAATTATTATACAAAAATATTAATTAATAAAGAAAATTATAACCAAGATGAAATATCAGAAAAACATAGTAAAAATAACATATATGATATATATGATAATTTTCCATTAAATAATTTCGAATTTATCAAAAGTAAAACATCTTTAAAAAAAAATGATATTGAAATTATTAAGGAGAATTGTAATTTAAAAAATAAGGAAGTATATATAGATGAATACCATTTAAATAAAAATGAAGGTTATAATTTACATGAATACTTCTCTGATATATTAAATAAATATAAAAACTTTAATAATATTAAGAGTGTAAATGATTATTTTGAAAATTTTAATAAACAAAACCATATTATGAAAAATTCAAATAAATGTAGCTTTGCAAAATTGAAAGATAATAATCAAGTTACTAACAAAAAGGACATTTTATTAAGAATAGTGAATAACTTGAAATTTGATAAAATATTAAATGAGAAAAAAAAAAACTGCAAATTACAAATAAATTTAAAAAGTAATTCTATTTTCTCTATGAACCCTTTTATTGATAATAGTAATAAAATTCATTTGAAAAAGTTTAATGCTAATAATGGAAGGAAATACAATAATGTAGTCGAAAGTAATAATTATAATGTAGACAGATATAATAGTAGACTATCTCAAATTAAATTTCAAGATAGCAATAAAATTTTCTGTGAAAATTCTATTAAAAAAAAATTGCTAATTGATAATACTGATAAGAATAATAATGATATGTTCTTACTTCATGATTTTCATGATAATTATTAAAAAAATGCATTAAAAAAAAAGTATAACTACAGTAATTCCAATAATATTTTAAATAAAAATCATCATTTATATATAATAAAATAAAAATAAATCTTATGGAAAAAAAATTTTATATTAAATATATATGTATATATAAATATATTTTTAATGTATTTGAGTATGTAAAAAATATATTTATATATAAATTTTTATTATTTTGTTTACCGCACTCTTTAGTTTTTTTAGTATAGTTGTTTTTATTTATATGGATGTCTAAAAAATTTTTTTTGTAGTTGTAATTGAATAAAAAATTATTACTTCATCTGTATGCATATGTATTTTTTTTATTTGTTAATATGAATAAGAAAATTAAAATTTTTTTTTTTTTTTGTTTTACAAATAAAACATCTTTAATATTTTTTCTTTTTTTAATCTTTATATAAAAAATAAAATAGGATAAGTAAGTAACTGTTAAAAGATGTTTTATATCTATATTTTTTGAGGTTTTTCTTTTATTTTACATATATTTTAAATTAATTTTTTTTTTATATGCATGCGTGTATTATTTTATTTCTTTTAAGCATCAAAACAAATCAAAATTGTTTTCAATAAAAATAACATTTAGTTTATATCCACTTTTAATATATAAATTGTTAAAACATAATATTAATTTTGTTAATATAAATCTAATAATATTAGATTGTAATAAGGATCCCAAAACAAATAATTGATGAGCTAATGCTAATACTTTAATTAATAATCAATTTTATAATGTACGTAAAAAGTATCTAAAAATAAATTTAGACATAGGAAAAAAAAAAAAAAAAAAAAAAAAAATTAAATATTAAAAAAATTTAGAAATACATTAGCATTAAACAAAGTTTTTTCATCTATTTTAAGTTACATAATTTAATTTTTTTAATTTTACTTTTTCGTCAAAAAAAAAAATTTTTTTTTTTTATTGTCATATTTATATATATTTCATTTTACACATTTTAATTTATATATAATGTATTTCTAAATTTTTTTAATATTTAATTTTTTTTTTTTTTTTTTTTTTTTTTNAAAAAAAAAAAAAAAAAAAAAAAAAATTAAATATTAAAAAAATTTAGAAATACATTATATATAAATTAAAATGTGTAAAATGAAATATATATAAATATGACAATAAAAAAAAAAAATTTTTTTTTTTGACGAAAAAGTAAAATTAAAAAAATTAAATTATGTAACTTAAAATAGATGAAAAAACTTTGTGTAATGCTAAAATATATCTAAGATATTTTATTTTTTAATTTTTTTTTTTTTTTTTTTTTTTTTTGCTTTAAATCATTTTAAACTTTCATTTTTATTATATATATGGTATAGCAGTTTTAGTTTTTTTTGATATATCTTTTAAAAGGTTTGTATTTATACTACCAGGCCCTAATTCATATCCGTTTTCATATCCATTTTTTAAAATATTTTGTAAACATAAATTTATTTTAATTGGACTAGTTAATTGCAAAAGTAATAACTCTTTTATTATGGATGGATCGTCATAAGCATTACCATCAACATTTGATAAAACAGGAACATTTAACTTTTTGAAATTGGTCTGTTTTAAAACTTTTTCTAAGGATCCTTTAGCTGGAAACATGTAAGAAGAATGAAATGCACCTGATATCTGCAGCTTTTTGGTGAAAATGGCTTTATATTTTTCTTTTGCTAATTTATTTAGATAATCCATACTTGCAGGCTTTCCACATAAACCAAATTTTTTATCAGTCATATAACTTACAATAAAAACGTCATCTTTCATTTCTTTATTAACATCTTCTATTAATTTATAAATAGTGTCTAAAGTTAATCCTACGACAGCAATAGTAGTCATCTCATACAATTTAGCAGAATTTTGCATTGCTTTTCCTCTTTCTTTTGTTAAATAAACACCTTCTTCAAAAGGTAATGAACCTGAACATGTCAGGGCAGAATATTCCCCCAATGAATAACCCATACATAAATTTAATTTTTCAGTTATTTCTTTATTTTCACTTTTTAATCTTTCATAAGCAGCAATTGATACTGTGTAAATAGAAGGTTGTGCTATTTCGGAGTCTTTTAATTTTTCAATTGGTCCATTCTTTATTACATCCATTAAATTATATCCTAAAACTTTACTTGCACGATCATAAATTTCTTTTGCATTTTTACAATTATCATAAGAATTTGCACCCATAGATATATATTGTTCACCTTGTCCAGGGAAAAAAAAAGTATATTTAGAGCTGTAGTTTTCAATTCTATATTTTTCAAATTCCTTTAATTTCGTTTTTATATAATTTTCATTTTCACTTGATGAAATAATCATATCTTTTATTTCATAACTGGTACTTGTGTCCTTAACTAACTTTCTTCTATTATTATTCTTGTTTTTATTATCTACTATGCTAATTGTAAGTACTTCTTTGTTTTTTAAAATAAAAGTATAACATTTTTTTGAATTCCAAATTATGATTTTTAATATTAATAACAATAAAAAATTAAAATTTAAAAACATTTTTTTTAGAAAAATTTTAATTTTTTTTTTTTTTTTTCTAAGAATAATTTACACTTTGTTCCAATGAATAATTTATTCTCTGTAACAAAAGTATTATTTATTATTTTTTTTCTTTTAAATAAAAATAACATATTTTTAGGATTTTTAATATTATATATACTAAATATATACTACATTATAGCACTTAATACTGAAGTATGTATTATAAACACTTCTAAATATACATTTATATATACAATTCATAACTAAGATAATTGCTTTTTATTTTTATTTTTTTTTTTTTTACAAATTTAAATTATCAAATATTTTATTAGATTGGTTCATTTTAAAATTTAGTACATGCATAATATTTTATTTTTTAAGTTCTTTAATGTTATTTTTACATTTTTTCCATTTTTATAGCTTTTATTATTCTCAAAAATAAAAAAACACATTATAATAAATTATGTATTAATTTATACATGTTTTTTTATTTTAAATTATTTTAAACAAATAGAAGAATTTATCTACCTATAAAAATGAAATGCAAATTCTTACAAAAAATTATAATTATTTTCTCTAATTAAATAAAATGGTGTTTTTAAAAGTTGAATTATATATTCACATTAAATATAAATTTTTATATAATAGTATTAAAATAAAAATAATATAAAAAATAAACCATAAAATTTTAAAGGTGTTGCTCAAAATTTAAAAAAAAAATTATATATAATACCATGATACATATTTAAAGCATTTGGGAATACATTATAAAATTCTTGAGTTATATAAATTTAACTATTTTATTTTAATAGATTAAAAATAAATTGAATATTAATTCATACATATTTAGCATTTTCTATTTAGAATACCACCTTCATTTTTTTTTTTTTTTTTACTATAATAAAAGAATGCAGTATTTCAATAAAAGGTGAAAATGTGTATTTTTTTTTATTTTGATTTAAAAAATAAAATCTCAAAGTTAATGAAAATAATTTTAGAATATGCTTACGTATGTTACTACTTTTTGTGAATTTTCTAGTTTACCAATGAATATACGTATAAATTATTTTTTTATAAATATTACACATTATTAATAATTTATAAATATAATTTATTCTAAATATACGAAAATTTATTATTTATAATAATTCGTTTAAAAAATGCATTTGAGAGAAAACTTACATGAAAATAGATGTATTTCTATACAGAGATAATTACAATTTATGTAAAATAAATAAAAAATAAAAAACTGGTCTTGTTTTATTAATTTTAACTTTTTATAGAAATTATAATAGAAAATTTATAATATAAAATATACAAATGCTAATAAAGAAAGTTCATCTTACTATATTTTTTTTTTTTTTTTTTTTTGCTTAAGTATAAAAATGAAATTATTGGAATATTAAAAATAATGTAATATATAATCTATTTTTAATGAATTAATAGACATTCTATATTTTTTTTTTTTTTACTTTTAGATTATTTATTTAAGATATATTAGCACTATTTTTTTTCTTTTTCTTTATGGAATAATTTTGAGTAATTCAATATTTTACTTTTGCTAATCTATTTATTTCTTTATTTCCGTTAATTTATTTGTAAATTCTATCATTTATCTTTTATTTGTTATTTATTATTTTGCTTTGCTATATCTTATTTTTTTGTATTATTATTACCATATTATAAGCTTTTTTTGTATTCTATATCAGTTTTTAGTTTACTTGTTTTCTAAATTTTTTTCTTTAAAATAGAAATATATTATAGATTAAAAAAAAAAAAAAATAATAAGTAATAATAAACCTTTAAATATAATAATGGTAGCAATAAATTAATATAAAAATTTAGATATAGGCAAATCATTATATTTTATATATATATTATTATATTCCTTTAATAAACTAAAAAAAAATTAAGAAAAAAAAATTAAGAGGATATATATCTAAAATTTCATATATATAATAAATGTATGAAATTAAATTTAATGATAGGATAATATTATATATATATATATATATATATATATATATATATATATATATATATATATTTGTGCTTTTTTATTTATAATTAACAAATATAAAAAAATTAAAAAAAATATTAAAAATACCTCATTAAAAAAACTATAAAATATAAAATAAAATGGTCATGAAATAATATCTTTTAGGGAATCATGTCATACACATATGTATAATATATATGCATTTTAGAATATCTATGCAAAATAAGGGAATAAAAACATATATTTTTCTATTTTTTTTATTTAAATTTGAATTAGTATAAAATATTAACATTATGATAAAAGAAAAAAAAAAAAAAAAAAAAATTTTAAATTAAGTTATATATTACTAAAAATATAATAAAATGTGTTAATATTTTTTCTTATTTTTCGACTAAGTTTCGTAATCCAACAGTTATTTCTTCTTCTAATGCCTTAAAATACTTTTTAAAGTATTCATCTGAATTTTTTGGAGATTCAAATTTCATGTGAGTAATTTTATTTATAGTAGGTCTTAAAGTATTATATATAGATCCCCATCCAATTTTTCTGTCTCTTGAGTCATATTCTTGTAAAGTTCTCAAACATTGTGCATAAAAATGACAAATAATTCTCATCATACCTACAGTTTTTTGCAAAGGACACATGTAATCATAATCACTGAATGCATTTTGCTGAAGAAAATCTTCTCTTATAATTTTTGCAACTTCCATTACTACTTTTTGATCTTCTGATAAAGAATCTTTTCCAACTAATTGAACAATATCATTCAAATCACTTTCTTGTTGCAATATATCACTTATTTTTTGTCTTAAGGACAAAAAATCTTGATCAAAATTATCAAAGTATTGTTCTAATTGTCTAATATATTTTGAAAAAGAAGTGGACCAATTAACAGATGGAAAATGTTTTCTCTGTGCAAGTTTTTTATCCAATCCCCAAAAAGCTTGTACAATAGACATAGTAGCTGTGGTTACTGGATCTGAAAAATCTCCTCCTGGTGGAGAAACTGCACCAACAATGGTAATAGAACCGATACGAGATGGAGAACCAATACATTTCACCTTTCCTGCGCGTTCATAAAAAGAAGCTAATCTTGCACCCAAATATGCAGGATATCCGCTATCAGCAGGCATTTCAGCTAGTCTTCCCGAAATTTCTCTTAAGGCTTCTGCCCATCTACTAGTACTATCGGCCATCATAGTGGCATTATAACCCATATCACGGAAATATTCACATAAAGTAATTCCAGTATAAATGCTAGCTTCTCTTGCAGCAACTGGCATATTTGATGTATTAGCTACCAAACAAGTTCTTTGCATAATTCCAACTTCTTCATTATCTACTTTTGTTGTTAATTCTGGAAATTCTGACAAAATTTCTGCCATTTCATTTCCTCTTTCTCCACATCCTACATATATAATAACTTCACTATTTGAATATTTTGATAAAGCTTGAGATACACACGTTTTTCCACATCCAAAAGCACCTGGAATAGCACATGTACCACCTTGTACTGTTGGAAATAAAGAATCTAAAACTCTCTGACCTGTTAATAATAAAGTATCACCTGTTATTTTTTCTAAAACAGGTCTTGGATCTCTAACAGGCCACAAATGAGATAGGCCATAAGTATATTTTTTTCCTTGATATTCTAATTCAAATATTTTGTCTTTTAAAGTATAAGTTCCATCAGGGGCAATATAAGTAACACGTCCTTTGGCATTAGGAGGAGCCATAATTTTATGTTCTTTAAATAATTTATTTTCATCAACATACCCAAATATATCACCACCTGTTACTATATCATTTAGTTTTAGCTTTTTATTGCAATAAAATTGCCACTCCTTATCATGATCTAAAGATGTCAAATCAATTCCTTTATATATATAAACATCGCCACATATATTAGCAATTCTTTCTAAAGGCCTCTGAATTCCATCATAAATATTATCTAGAATTCCAGGACCTAATTCTACCGATAAAGCATTACCTGTTTTTGTAACAGGATCTCCAACAGATAAACCAGAAGTGTCTTCATAAACTTGTATATAGGCATAATTCCCTTCTAATCTAATAATTTCTCCAACTAATTTATTCCAACCAACTTTAGCTAATTCATACATTCTTGTTCCACTCATACGTTCAGCAATAACTAAAGATCCTGCTACTTTATAAATTATTCCAGGCTCTTCATTTTCAACAGAAGGTTTTGTCATTTTCCAAGAAAAAAAAACTTAAAAGGATTTAATAAAAAAAAATAAAAATAATAAGCTAGTATTTATGAAAATGCCAAAATTAAGTACAAAAATATATATATATATAACCAAAAATATTCATATTACTTAATTTATAATTATGTAATAAAGAAATAAATAAATCAATGTAATTTATCAAATTCTTATTAAAAACAAAATTATTCTTACTATATATTAATATAAAGTATAATTTTCTTTTTTTCTTTTTTTTTTTTTTTTTTTTTTGTATTACTTCATATCAAACATATTACCAGTTTCAATTAAAAAAAAAAAAAAAAATTAATCTTTTTATTTTTTATTGTTTTTTAATTTTTATCTTTTTTAGGTTAATCTAAAAAGTATCATACTTTAATACAAGTTTTTAAATTAATATCTTATTAGGCTTTTTTTTTTTTTTTTTTTTTTTTTTTTTTTTTTTTTTTTCTTTTTTAAAATATTTCCATTTTAATTTATATTTTTCCCAAATAACCTTTTTATTATTATAATATTTTTATTATATTTTCTTTTTTATACTTAATTTTATCAAAAATATTTATATCTATATATACGTCCTTTAGTTAAATCATATGTACATTTGCAATTATATATATATATATATATATAAATAGTTTTTATAATTTTTTCTTATTTTTCATACTTTTTTCTTTCTTGCTGAATTCATGATTTTTTAATTAAAAAAAAATTTTTTTTTTTTTTTTTTTTTTTTTTCTTTCTTATTATCACTTCATTTAAATAAAATGATTCTTATAGAATTTATAATAAATTTTTTTTAATGAATTCATTTATTTCTTGTTTTTTTAATAAATAAAAAATATCCCAATACATGTATTTATGTGTATTTTTTTTTTATACTTTTTTTTTGTGTGCATATGCTTAATTCCAGTAACAAGTTGAAAATTGCATAAAAATTAAAAATCGATAAGTTCAAATATTAATAATAATATAAAATCTCCTAAAACAATTTTGTACTCTTTTTATAGTTACAATAATAAAAATAAAAAAGGAAAAGAAGTTATAGAAAGGCTAAAGTTCTAAAAATGCGCATTAAAGAGAAAGATAAATAATTTTTTTTTTTCTATTTATTAGTTCTATATATAAAAAATCATCCCTTATATATTTTACATTTTCCATAAGGAAGCAAATTTTATTATATTTTAAAAAAAGGTTGAAAAATAATTAATTTTTGAAATGCTAAGGAATATTTAATATAATTTTTAATATAAAAGTATATATTAATTTTTTGTTTCGTTATTTTAAAAAAGTTCTAATATAGAACCGCATCAAAAATAAACATTATTATTTTTAGTATGACTAATAAGTCCTTTTAACATGTGTAAATATATAATTTTCATATTAATTTAAATAGTTTTTTTTTTTTTTTTTAATTTAAACAAAAATAAGCAATAATAAAGATAACTAAAATTAATATCAATATAAAGTAAAAATAAATATATATAATTATATTGATTAATTTTTATTATTTTAAGAGTTTTTTATTTTTATTATTAATGAGTTTTTGAAAAGTATACAATTTGAAAAGAAATACAATTAATTATTTTATTCATCATTATTATTTCATATCAAAATATAAAAATAATATTTCTGAATAAACATTAATAATAAAAATATGTTTTTTCTTTATATGTTTATACTTTTCATATTAGATAATAAAAAAACATATACAAAATGGTTCTTAGTTTAACATGCAATATATAAAATAATTATATCATGGAATTAAAAAACATTTAGAGTAATGTATTATTCCTAATATATAAGTTAAATTGCATGTATAAGTACATATAAGAATTTATAAGAAAATTACAACAATTGAAAAAAAACCTTTATATTCTACATAAAGTTATTTTTTTGAATTTCTTAAATTTTACAAGTATATATATATATATAGATTTAAAATTAATATACAATTTTTTCTTTTTTAAAATTAAATGAATAGAGAAAATTACTTTTTTAATGTAATTATATATACATGATATTTTATAATTTATTTGTCAATCTTAATAAATACTCTTTTAAATTATTAGATATATTATCTTTTTTAAGAATTCTATTTATTTCATCAAGCATTAATTTTTGTCTTTTCAAGTCTAGTTTATTCCACAATTTAAATGGATCACATAATTGAGTTGCTACTTGAGGATTGAATGAATCAACTTTTATTATTACATCCGCTATCAATTTGTAACCCTTTCCTGAAATATCGTTAAAGTATTTTAAATTGTTCGTAAATGGAATATATACTGCTCTAATTTCATTTGGATTTTTACTATCTTTTAAAACATCCGTTTCAAGTTTTTTAATAATATCATATATATCTTCTCTATCAGATCTTGATACAGTCTTTAACCACTCTTGTAAAAGTAATTCATCATCTTTAGAAAGAATATAAGTTTTTTCATAAAGATCGTAATATGTTTTATAATATGCAGAAACAGCTAAACTCGTAAGCCAATTTGTAGGATAAGGTGAATTAGATTGTTCCATGATGTATTCTAAAATGTTTGGATATTTTGCTCTACTTAATAATGATAATAAAGTGTTTCTTAATTTTCTCATATTTATTTGATCAAAGTCAACATAAGATTCATCATCAAAATGAGTCATATCATCAGCTTCAGATTTTAACTCCTTGAAAATTTTAAAGTAATCATCATTTAATTCATTTCCAATCTGCTTATAGATAAACATTTTAGTATCATATAATACATCTGTGTCTAAATTATCTATAAAATTGATAATATATCTATCACGAGGTAGAGTTATGATGTATGATTTAAAACCTGGATCAGCATTTGAATCATTCATTAAATACCTAATAGCATTAATAAAATCTTTATTGACAGGTGTTAATTCAGGTTCATCTATATCTTCATTTTTAGCTTGTAAAAGTTCCTTATAATTTGTTAAAATTTGTTTCATATATATATCTGTACAAATATTAAATCTAACAAATGAATCCTTATCATATTTAAATAACAAAATGCGTTCTTCATCTGTTAAATTATCTTTAATATAAACTGGGGCACTAAATCCTCTGAACAAAGATGGAATTGGTTTTTCTTCGATATTTTTAAAAACAAAAACATCTCTTTCTTTTGTAAATTCAAGGGTAGTTTCTTCAATCATTTCTTCTCCATTTTTTGGATTGACAAGACCAACTTTTATTGGAATAAATAAGGCTTTTTTCTCTTTTTGATTATTATCTTCTTTTGTAAATTGACTTACATGAATAGTAAATTCTTTTTTATTTTCATCATATGAATAAGTAGCAGTGACATGTGGAGTTCCACTTTGTGAAAACCATAATAAAAATTGATCTAAGTTCGCATTATTATCACCTTTCTTTAATTTATATGCTTCATTCATTGCATCATTAAAATCTTCACATGTTGCTGTTTTTCCATCATTTTTTTTTATGTAAATAGTCATACCTTTTTTATAGTATTCTTCACCCAGAATAGTCATATACATTCTCATAACTTCACTACCTTTATCATATACTGTTGTTGTATAAAAATTTTCCATACTTACATAAGATTCAGGTCTTATTGGATGTGACATTGGTGATGAATCTTCCAAAAATTGAACACTTCTTAATAAATCTACATGATCTAAACGAAATGTGGCTGTTTTAGTTGTGTGTTCAGAAAAAAGATTTTCTCTATGAACAGTTAATCCTTCTTTTAAAGTTAATTGAAACCAATCTCTCAATGTAACTCTATTTCCAGTGTAATTATGAAAATATTCATGACCTACAACTGTTAATATTCTTTCAAATGAAAAATCTATTGATTTTTTTTTGGATGCTAATAATGAATTTGCATTAAATATATTTAATCCTTTATTTTCCATTGCACCTACATTAAAATCAGAAACTGCAACTAGGTTCAATCTGGTTAAATCATATTCTAAACCGAAATAGTTTTCATCAAATTCCATAGCCTTTTTTAAACACTCTAAAGCCCATTTTAATTTAGATACATATTTTTCTTCACTAAATACATATAATTCAACGTTCCTTTTAGAAAATTTCGTAACATATGTATCACTTAAATGCTTCAAATCTCCTGCTACTACTGCAAATAAATAGCAAGGTTTTAAATAAGGATCAACAAATCTTGCTCCATGTCTTCCTTCATTAACATCAAATTCACTTACTTTATCTCCATTACTTAACAATACTGGATATTTTTTTTTATCTGCAGTTAATGTTACATCATACTTTGACATAATATCTGGTCTATCAATAAAAAATGTTATACGACGAAATCCTGTTGCTTCACATTGAGAAACAATTAGATTTTTAGATTTGTATAAACCAGTTAAGGCAAAGTTAGATTCAGGATGTATAGTTACTTGAGAAGAAAATTTAAATTTACCTTCTGGTAAATTGCTAGAAAAAATAGTTAAATACTCATTATCATATCTATAATGTTCTCCTTCAGATAATTTAGTTTCATTTATAGCTATTTCTTTTATTTCTAAATCAACACCATCTAAAACTAAATCTTCTCCATCATAGTGCTCACTTAATTCTATATCTAAGGTAGATTTTACTGTAGTATGATCATCATAAATTTCTATATGTAACGTGCTGTTATTTATTTTAAAACCACTTGGCTTGTAATCAGTTCTGTAGTTAATTTTTGGAACTACTTTATTGTCACCTGATTCATTATTTCCGCTGTCATCTTCTCTTGTTGTTATATCATCAAATGCAGATGGGTCTAAGCTTTCAGAAGATAACTTTAATTTTTTTTCTTGGGAAGTATTTCCACCTGAACCTATTGGACCACCTCTTTTTCTGTCCTTATCTGGTGAACTATTATTCTCCCCTTTTTCACTCATTAATCTTTTCTGTATTATATATGATTGAGGTTTTTTTTTTTTGTTAATGCTATTAAAAATGTCCTTTTGAAATAAATCCAAGTTTGCAATTTTGAAAATTTCTAAATCATAAATTAGGGAAGAAAAATTTATTTTTTGATTTATATTATTTTTAATTGAATTAGATTTTAGCAAGCGACTAATTACACCGCATGAATTAATTCGAAAAATATTATTTATCATGCAAGTATTTTTATGATAATTAAGAGAATTTGCTAAAAATAAAACTGATATAAAAAAAAAATTATAGTTTAATACTTTTTTTAAATTCATTTTGTAAAAAAATATTAAAGCACAGTGATAATTTAATTACATGTATGCATACAAATTTAAATATCACTTTTTTTTTTTAAATTTTTACGTTATACGTAGCATATATATTTTTTGTGTATAATTTTTTTTTAAAACTCAAAGTTTGAGCATGCAACGAAATTTTTTTCCTTTATTTTTTATTTAAAAAAAAATATTTTTAATATAAAATAAAATAAACTTTTTAAAAAGAAATGTTAAAATGTTTTAAAAAATATTTAATTAAAAAAAATAAATTTCATTTAAAAAATCATATATGTATATAATGTTAATTCATTAATACATTTAAAAAATGCCATATCATATAGTTTTTTCCTTTAAAAATTCGACTTTAAAAATTTTTAAACGAAAAATATTTTTTAAATGAATTTAAATATTAATTAAATACTAAATGAAATATATGGTTTAAAATTTGCTCATATATTGTTCTAAATAGTTAAATTCCTATTAAAAATAATGTACGTATTTATATAACATCATTAATTTTTTTTTTTTTACTTTAGTTTTTATTATTTTGGTATATTTTTTTTTTTTTTTTTTTTGAAGTTAAATTTATAACATTTTTTCTTTTAAATGCATGCTTTAAATAATTTTATTTTTTTTTAAAAATACTCGTAGGTAAAACTAAAGTAGAAATAAATTAATTGATTAAAATTTTTAATACATGATCTTTTTTTTTTTAGTATATTTCACAATTTCATAAACATACATATTTAACTAAAAATATACATGTTCTACACGTACATCGAAATTCTATTTTTATTGTTGCTATTAAAAAAAATAAATTATAAGATATATTTTATAAAAATATGTTATTTTTTTTAAGCTAATGTTAACACTGTGATATATAAAAAAAAATAAAAAAAATTTAGGTTTAGTATTAAGAGAAAGCATTTTTTCCTTTGTAGTAGTACTTTATATATACATGATGTTATTTAAATCCATTTTAAATCGAAATGTTAGAATTAATAGAATATTAGGAAATTTTTACCATGATTTTTAGAAGTTTATTATATAATTAAAAGTGTTGCAATTCTCTTTGTAATAAAGATTTTGTTGAAATTAACTAGACTATATTTAGTTGATTTCTATATAATAACACTAATTTTTTTATTGCTTTTAAAAAAATGCAAAATCAATGTTAAATCTTTAATATAATTATGTAAAAGAATGTATTTTACAATGAATTTTTTTGAAAAACATTTATGTTAAACCTATACTAACAAACGATATATATTACATATATTAAAAAAAAAATACATTTAAATTATGCAGTTCTACAATTTTATTTAATTATTGTTAGATTTAATAAAATAAAATTTAAATTCATTAAGTTTTCTAGTGTTTATTTCTGTTATATAATAAAAGTGCATTTATATTTCATTTTAAATGTATGTTTTTTTCATCTATTTTATGGTTTTCTTACTATACTACACCTTATTTTAAAAAAAATACTTAAATATAAAATTTCTCTAAATTTTAAACATTTCCGAATAACATATCTACTTTTTTAATAAATTTTTTATATTTTCTATTGTAATATTTAATTTTATTTTTAATATATAGATGAATAATATATTTACATATTTTAATATTATTTTATGCCATTTTACCTTATTTTGTTTAATAATGTTCTTTTTTAAGTAAAAAAATAATATTTTCTTTTTTTATGCAAAATTGAAAATATTTTTATGCTAAAGATAAAAAGGCATTTATATATTTTTAATTTTTATATTTTTATATTTTTGTTATATAATAAAGTATTATATAGAAAAGAAAAAACACAGAATTTCCTATTCTTTTTCAAAATTTTTTCCTTATTTAGATCCATAATTTAATCATCTTTATAAATATAATTATGAAATTAGCTTCATAATGTGTTATAAAAAATTTCTCTTTTAAAAAAGTTTTCTTTTGAAGCTATTTTTTTTTTAAAAAATATATATTTAATTCGTAGAAAATTTTTTAATAAATTAACAACAATAATAATGTATGCAAAAAATTTCATTTTAAAGTTTCTAATTTTAAAAAGATTATAATTCTTCTCCTTAAAAAAAAAAAAGTGATCAATAAGTTACCTTAAATTAACTATGACATAAACTTTTTCTATTTTTGTTATCTCTTCTTCGACATTTTTTTTTTTTTTTATTTATCTTAAATATTATAATAATACAAAAATAAAATTTTTACATTTATGACAAAAATCGTATTTATATAAAAATAAATTTAATTATTTTATTTTTGTTTTACTGTTGACAAGAAATAAAATAAAGTAACGAGAAAATATATTAAAAAAAAAAAAAAGTGCAAAAAAAGAAAAAAAATACGTAACACGAAAAATGTAGGATATGTTATATACAAAAAATAATATAAGGATAAAAATAAAAAGTAATAAAGAAATAAATTTTATGTTTAAAAAATAGTATAGTTAGAGAAAGTTAACGTAAAAAATAAAATACATAAATATACAAAGCGTTTGGAAAAGGGTTTAAATAATGAAATTTAATAATAATAAAAAGAATGATATTCTTGAAGATGAATTATCAGACAATTTTGTATTACCTGAAGGTGATAAAGTAAAAGGGGAAAAACTATTTAAAAAACATTGTAAACAATGTCATTCTGTAGCTCCAGATAATAGTCAAACGAATTCTGGATTTACAAGTTGGGGTCCCTCCTTATTTAATGTATATAACAGGACTGCCGGAATGAGTATGGGAAATTCTCCATTTCAAGTTTCTCCTGATATGTATTCTTCGGGAATTATATGGAATGATGTTAATTTACTCAAATACATGAAAAATCCAAAGCAATTTGTTGAATCAAATATCGGTATGAACTTTAAAGGGATTTCAAATTTTCAAGATAGAGTTGATATCGTACATTATTTAAAAACATTAACATATGATGATCCTCACGGAAGAGAAATTGCAGAAAAATATTCAAAAAAAAATAACTAAATTTTTAAAAATACAAAAAAAAAAAAAAAAAAAAAAAAAAAAATCCTAAACATATGAACTTTTTTTTCTTTTTTTACTAGTATATATCCTATTATGGTTTTATGATGGTATAATTTTTATAAATATTTATATTATTTTTTTTTTTTTTTTCCATGATTTTCTTATTAAATTTGCTTTTATTCAATATATTTATTATGTTAATTATTCGTTTACCTTACATATATTTTTATACTTAACCAAATATTATTTCAGATAATGTATTTTAATCCTATTTTACACATTTAATTGTAGTTATTAATGCTTTAATATGTACATTATTATTATTAGCATTATTTGTGTTTTTGTTAGCTCTACTATTAATCATCATGATTTTTATTACTATATCATAAAAATATGTATTATTTTAAAAAATTATAAAACAAAAATTCTATTATTTACAATTAAAAATTTTGATTCAAGTTAAGATTATAAAAATTTATATTAACAAATATAATTATTTTTACTTAAAATTGAAATTACATATTTAAATAGTTCTAAAAATGATGTACTAAAAAAAAAAAAAAATAAAAAAAAAAATAAAAAAAAAAAAATATAAATGCTTAATTTTTTTTTTTTTTAAAGACAATTAAATAAAATAATAAAATATAAATAGTGAATTTTTTTTTTTTATTTAATTTATATTAAAACCTGAGTTAGTTAAGAAATTAATTTTATTCTTTAATTATATATAACCAAAATTTTTTTTTTTTTTTTTTTTTTTTTTACATTAATTAAAAATGTATATGTGTAAAAAAATACGCTTTTGCATATCCCTTCCTTTTATTTATGCTATCCATAAGTTTACATAATATTACATTTTAAGCAATTAAAATCAAATTCAAGACTATTAACTTCAACAATATCATACATATTTTCTTGCCATTTATCACAATGAAATTGAATATACGTATCTAAGTTATGACCATCATCAAGTGTATAATGGGAATAATAATTAATTTTATCATTATTTTTACAATCTAATGTGAAATTTATATTGTTTTCTTCATTATTATTTATTACTTTATCACTTCTATATATATTATAAGAGTTAATTTTTTCAGCAAATTTTTTAATTATCATAGGAGTGAAAGCATATATAGAACATAAGTTTTTATTAATGTCAAAGCAATAATAATTTTTTAAAGAAAACCTTGTAAATATATTTAACATATTATTTTCTTCATCTGATTTATCTTTTCCTTCTTCTAAATAATGATCATTACTTTTATTTTCTTTTAAAAATGTTGCATTTTCATTTTCTGTAAAAATACTATCAACGTCATTATTTATGCATGAAAATGAATCATCAAAAATAAAAAAATCTTCAATATCTTCATTTGCATCATAAAAATATTCTGTATTTTCATTATCTTCCAATTCCATGTTATTATGCTGTTTAACTTTAAATGCTTGTTTTAATTTATTTATATCTTCAATATATAAAAATAATCTTGACAATCTCTCTTTTTTTATTGAATTTATTTTATCAATATCATTAATATAATCAACAGAAATATTATTTTCAAAGTTATTATCATTACAGAAATACATTAATGAATTTAATTTATTTATTTTTTCTTTAAAACTTTTATTGAAATTATTTTTGCAATCTCTATATAAAGCTTTAATTGCCTCAATTTTGTTTATCCCTATATGGAAAACATTAAATTTATTTTTAATTTTTTCATTATCATATTCCCTTTTCTCTTCTATTTGGTTATTTTCGTCCATTTCATTTATATTCAGTTGTTTATTTTTTTCAAAATTATTAATTTCTTCTATTTCTTCTATTTCTTCTATTTCTTCTACTTGATTTTTTTTTTCTTCATTTTTCTCTTCTTCCTCCTTTTTTATATCTTTATTTTTTTCTTTTTCTTCCTCCTTTTTTATATCTTTATTTTTTTCTTTTTCTTCCTCCCTTTTTATATCTTTATTTTTTTCTTTTTCTTCTAATTTTTTTTTGTCTTCATTTTCTTTTTTTTTGAAATTAATACTCTCTTTTCCTTTTTTCCCATTTTTATTAATTATACGCTTTTTTGATTTATCCATAAATTCATTATCTGAGAATTTTTTATCTTGTTTAACTTTCTTAAAATATATTTTTAATTTTTCTTGATTAAAATTTTTCTCACTAAAAGATTTATATGATAAATTATTCTGATGAAATAAATTTTTGTAATTAGGCTTTTTTTTTTCTAAAAAGCTTTTTATATTATTTTGACAAGTACAAGAACTTGTAACATTTTTATCTAATGTCACAGCATTTGCATTTGCATTTTCTTTACATATTTTACATATTTCTAATGCATATTCGCTATTATTATCACTACCTATCATATTTCTTCTATATTCTTCTTTTTTTTTTTTTTTTTTTTTTTTTTTTTATATATATATATTTAAATGTATTTATTTAAAAAATTAAAATTATAAAAACAAATATAATTTTAATAAATAAATTTTNNNNTTTTTTTTTTTTTTTTTTTTTTTTTTTTTTTTTTTTTATATATATATATTTAAATGTATTTATTTAAAAAATTAAAATTATAAAAACAAATATAATTTTAATAAATAAATTTTATATCATTTTATGTAATTAAAATTACAAAATTTAATACTCTTTATGATTAAATTATCTATTAAAAACTCTTTTTAATTTTTACTTAAAATTATGTATTATAAAAAAAAAAAAAGTGATATAAAGTTTTTTAATCCTTATCTCACAAAAAGTATAATATGCATGTTTAAAAAAAAAAAAAAAAAAAAAAATTTATAAATAAAATAGATATAATAATAACTAATTACATAAAACAAATAAAACAGTTTAATAATGTTAATGAAAATATAATTGCGAAAATAACAAAAATAAGAATATATAAATATTTTATATATAAATTTAAAGCAAGGACAAAAAAAAAAAAAAAAAAAAAAAAAAAAAAAAAAAAAAAAAAAAAAAATAAAAAAAAATAATA